TTTTTTTTTTTTTTTTTTGGTTTTTCGAGACAGGGTTTCTCTGTGGTTTTGGAGCCTGTCCTGGAACTAGCTCTTGTAGACCAGGCTGGTCTCAAACTCACAGAGATCCGCCTGCCTCTGCCTCCCGAGTGCTGTATCCCCAGACAGTGGAAGGCTGTTGATGGGCTCAGTGACCAAGAATGGTCAAAGCTGAAGTCTTTACCCTTTCATCATCACACACTGGAAACTGAGGGACATTGGTGACGGTGTGATATAGGTGGGGGACTTATTCTGTGACAGTCCTGGCTCTAACACCCTTTGCAGGTGCTTGCAGCATCGGCCACCAGCAGCCGTTGCATCCAAGGGATTTCTCGCTTTCTATTTTCCCTTGGCAATTAGGTGAAGTGGTGGGTGTGGCTCGGACTCTTGGGTTTAGGGTGGCCTATGTGGAGTATACCCGAGCTACTGAGATTCCCAGGTAAGCTCCTTCATAGACAGATGTGAAAGTGGCAAGCAATCACTTCTCTTTGATTGGCCAAAGGGACAAAGCCAGCATCCAAATAATATGTCATATGCATATTGACATATGTAAGTTGGATTTACAGAATGTTACTTACCCACTGGATGCTCCCCACTGCCTCGTAGTCTATTTTCATGAAAAGTTGCTCTATTTGTCCAATACTCTTGGGAGAAAAAAAAATGGGTTTATAGGCTTCTCTAGGTACCAATGTGGCGGACTTCAGACAATACCACGGATGCAGGTTTAATGAGGTTTTTGGAATAAATGTCTAAATAATCCCTTCCACCCTGAGGGATGGCCTCATAAAAGCCTGAGATCAGAGATGAACCAGAAAACAGAAAATTCAGGTTGATAGTCACCATGACCTGGATACAACCAGCTTGTCCAGATCACAGTGGAGCCTGGGCGCTCCACTGGGGGTGTCCCTCTCCTGGCTCTGGGGGAGGTGGCAGAAGCAAGGGCAGTGCAGTATTGTGAGTGATGTCATAGGATGTGGACCAGCAAGATTCGGCCTGCTACCCTGGAGGTGTGGCGGGAGTGAGTCCGCTGGGTTGGGGTATTCCTCTTACCAAGATGAATAGGCCTGCTCCCATGGGCTGCTCAGGGGAACTGAGCTACTCCCTTCGTAAGTTAATCCACTCACTGAGAAACCCAGAATGAGCCCCGAAGGGTGTGTCAAACTCTGGGAGAGGTTAAATGGCTGAGCTGAAAGGTAAAGAGGCAAAAGCCCCGCGTCCCACACGGGCCTTGCTGGCTGGGGACTTTCTGTCATCGCAGCTAAAACTCGCACCAACACATAAGGTTTTCCTCATGTCATGAGTTACACATGATGGAGGACAAGCTGTCTGTCAAGAGTTCAGAATAGTCTCTCCTTGCAGAACAACACTCAGCTTGAAGCTAAGGTATGGGTTTGAGGGCTGGCTCAGTGGTTAAGAGAGCTTGCTGCTCTTCCAAAGGAGTCAAGTTCAGTTTCAGGAAGCCACCTTAAGTGGCTCACAACCACCTATAACTCCAGCTCCAGGGGTTCAATACCATCTGCTGGCTTCCTTGGTCACTGCACACACACACACACACACACACACACACACACACACACACACACACAAAATGAGAGGGCGGGGTACTTAGAAATATTGCTGCCTCACACAGGGGGAATTCATGACAGATATTGCACTATCTACAGCCATTTATGCCGAGTAAAATGTGGCCCGGAACATCATGGAGGAGCCATGAAGCCCTTTATCACTTACTTAACAAAGAGTCATTGATTTCTGGCTGTCTACTCCCATGGCCTTAGGGTCTCTGCGTTTTATTCCATCAGACCCTGGAGTGGCAGAGCAGTGGCATCTCCGTCCCATTTCACCCCTGAAAAGAACGGCTTAGAGATTCCGAGTCTCTCCCCTGAAGTCCCTGACCCAGAAATAGATTTGGGTGTGACAGCACTCAATGCCTCCAGCCCAGATCTTAGCACTTCATGGTGATTTTCTTCTCTAACAAGAGACTATTATGAAGTCTTGGTGGACAGCACCTAAACAGCTTGTCCTTTAGCACAGATAACTTCCGTCATGAGTAAGATCTTAGATGTGTGGTCTATGTGGGACCACATATGTTCAGGTGTGCAAGATCACGTGTGCCCACACATACAAAGGGCAGAGGTGGGCACCAGGCATCTTCCTCTGTTGCTGTCCACCTTACTTTCCAAGATATTGTCTCTCACTGAGCCTGAAGCTCACCAACTTGGTTAGACTGAGTGGCCATCAGGCTCTCATCATCTATCCTTCCTGCCCCCACCCCCAGCCCACTCCTCCAGTGCTGGAGTTAGAGGTGTGTGCCACTGCTCCGGGCTCTGTACATGTATGCCAAGGGGGCTAAACTCTGATCCTATGTTTCCTGCTTTAGCAACTGAGGATTGCCCCCGCCCTCTGCCAGTCCCTAAAGCATTGCCCACAAAGACTCTACTGAGCTGCCCATGCTTCAGAAAACAGAAGACGGCCCCGTCCATGCTCGTGGAAGCCGTTCTCATTAAATTCAGGGCCCACAAAACAACAACCAAACAACAGCAACACAAAGCCATGAAAGTAGGAGGAGAGCTGTTGGGAATGCAGAGGGTTTAGTAGGAATAAAGGAGGAACAACGAAAGTGTGAAAAATGACCAAAATACGTTATACATGTGATATGTGTGCATGAAATTGTCAAAGAATGCAACAGAAAATTTAAAGAACAATAAATAAGAAAACAGTTTGTATTCTGAGCTAACCAAGATGACGGAGAATGAGTGAACCATTTGATTCCAGCTGTCAGGGAGGTTGGCAGAAGACTTAAGAGAAATAAGTGGTTGTCTTTGGAATAAAAGCATATATACAATTAGGCAATAATCTAGTAAGAGTATTGTTTTCCTCCTAAGAAAAGTCTCTAATTGTCTCATTGCTCTAGTCGACTAAGTTGTTTAAAAGCCTTTCCCAAGAAGCTTGATAGGGGAGAGTCTTCTGTTTTGTGTTAATTTCATTGATTAAATAAAGAGACTGCCTTGGCCCTTTAATAGGACAGAAAATTAGGTAGGCGGAGAAGACAGAACAGAATGCTGGGAGAAAGAAGTTGAGTCAGGCAGTCGCCATAGCTCTCCTCTCCGAATTGGATGCAGATTAAGATCTTTCCTGGTAAGCCACCTCGTGGTGCTACACAGATTATTAGAAATGGGTTAAACAAGTTATGAAAATTAGCCAATAAGAAGCTAGAACTAATGGGCCAGGCAGTGTTTAAAAGAATACAGTTTCCGTGTAATTATTTCGGGGCATAAGCTAGCCAGGTGCCTGGGAGTCCGGCGGGAACACAGCCCACTGCTACCCACTACAGAAGCTGTCCAGTAAACCCAGCAGGTGTCTCAGTAGAGAGGCGAGCCATCTACAGAGGTGCTGGGATCTAACTGGCTTGTGTGGCTACAGCATTAACTGCACTCTCTATGAGCTGATATCTTTAAGGCCCACTTACTTGTCTGTGCGACCTCATACACTGCCTCATTATGCGTTTGAACGTCTCCATACCCAGCAGATGGCTTCCTCTCTTCCCATGTTCCTACAAGTGAAAGAGAAAGAAAGATAAACCGTCAGCTGAGAACTCACAGGCGCCATGTTTTGTTGAGTCTGGGAGCTAAAGTCCAAAGAATTGAAGGTCTAATTAGACTCACCTAAACACTGCTGATTTCCCATAGGATTTCTGTGTTGTGTTAATCAGTTAAAAGTTCAGCAAAATAAAAGCAAATTAAATGGGAAAAATCAAAGCAATTTGTTTTTAAGTTCCATTAAGAAGTGACAATCAAAAAGTTATCCTTCGTGGTTATTTTATAGAAATTTGAAAAGTTTGTACTTTGTAATGAAAAATCAAATATCAAGAAAAGAATCAAATCATCAAGATAGGCATTTCAAAGTTTACCTGGCTTGTGCTTACCTCAAAGAGGGCATTTAAGTGCTGTAGCTCTTCCAAGGTCACTTGATGCTCAATCTCATCAAAAGAAAAGAAAACGAATTACAACCAAGAATGCCAAAAATAGCACCCACTAAATGGAATTTCTGGTCACTGGTAATTTCTTTTCCCAGAAAGCAGTGGCAGAGCCGAGCTGCTGGTTCTGTTCAGGGCCCAGCCCCAGATTCTGGCATCAGGTTGGGTGGTCTGGGCTGGGACAGGAAAAGACAGGATGTGAGAGAGGATGAGCATAGGAAATAAAAGAAGAAAGATCAGAAGCTGAACTGGAAGGGGAAAGGAGAGAAGGAGAACACTTTGCCTTGGTTCTAAGGACCTGTTCAGTGACCACACGATGACCCAGGATCCCTGCACATTCCGGCTTTCAGGACTAGGGGAAGTTGTTCTGGGGAGAACAGTTCCGCCATCTTTTCCTGGGCTAAACATTTTGGCGGGAAAGAGCAGGTTCTCTCTTGGTCCGCCTCCCTCAGCTCAGCACACAGATCACCAGCATACATTTCTCACTCCCGGTCTCTTATCTGCTATACCAAATTTTGTCTTTTTATCAGTACAGACTGTTGTTCCTTTTGGAAACTACAGCTCCCAGATTCCTCCTGGATTAGAGACACCTGTGCGCATAGGCGCACGCAAGTGCAGGACATTTCTCCCAGACACCCTTGCTTTCTCGTTAAAAAGCGAGCTTCCACGAGGTCTCCCTCTCTCTTGCCCTTCACCCTTGTGTGTCTTGCACACCTGTCCCTTATTGTGCTCCTCCCCCATTAAAGCGCACCCACATGGGAGCCGCGTGTCTGTGTCTTCTCCTTTCGTGCGTGTTTTGTCTGTCCTGTGTTTGTTTCTACACACATACCCGCTTTAAAAGAATAATACAGACCCCCAAACTTCTGGCTTAGAATGAAAGGCAGTGGGTAGGAATGAGTTAAATTGCAGTGTATTTTATGATAGATGGACAGAGAAAATGGCTTTCCCCCAACAGGATCATCTGAAATACATGTGTGCCTGCCTCCAAAGTAACGCCCCCCCCCAAATAATTCAGACTGACCCCAAAGCTATTGGGTAAGTCACTATCAAAATACAAATATCTTTCAAATTCTATCTTGAATGGTCCATGGCTATTTTTAAATTCATTTTCATGGAGGAGCAAAATCAGAAACCCAACTCTCTGAAGATATCCCTGTAGGGGTCTTCCAGCAAAATACAAACCCAGGAGCAGAGACCAACCAGTAGGAGGGAGGATCTGGACAGCATTTAAAAACACACAGAAGAAGATCCCGACAATCTGAGGGGCTGTTTCTGTGATCGCAGAAAAGACATTTCTAGGGAGCTAATTCGGCGTTTTCTTCAACCAAATTTTTTTGCCCAGTATCCATCAACAAAAACTGTTGTGACTTTTCCAGACTCACGGGTCACACAAATGAAATACACAAGCTGAGTTTTCACAGGGAGGTGAAGCCTTGGGAGGACCAGGTAACTACAGGTTTAAACATATGTGTGTACACATATACATATATACATACATACACATATTTACACACACACACACACACACATTGAAATGATTGGGCATGTTGGTGCACGCCTATAATCCCAGCTATTCAACTGGGGTGAGGCAGGAGGATCACTTAAGCCCAAGAGTTCAAAGCCAGACTCAACAACACGAATAGCCCCTGTTTCAGAAGGAAAGCCCAGAGTGCCCATGTGTTATTCTAACACACACTTCCATCTTTCAAACGCCCAGAGAAACTTTTGCTCTGCCTTTATTTAAGTTCCTTAAATTTTACATTGTCATAACATAAGTAGAGAATTGGTCTTTCACCTTCCTGGATCTCCATTCCGGAAGAAAAGAGCAATTAACAATAGCAACAAACTATGGCCCTGCCTCCCGGGAGAGGGCTCCCTGGTCAGGAAAGACACAAACTTCTATGTGCTCTATGGATGTGTTAGAAAAACTCTGAGAGAGAGGAGTGAACACCTTAATTAATAACAGTGACAGCGGGCAGGATATGCAAGTCAATGTGACTGTATAATTTATCAAGAACTCTATGGTAATTTTTATTTATGAATAAGATGTGACCCTTTCCCGCTACTCCTCAGAGTCAGCCCTGGCAAAGACAGCCTACCATGGCCACCTCAAGCACCCAAGGAGGATACACTGGCAGTCGTTTGGGTGTCGGGCAGGGTGTGCGTGCACGGTGCCCTCCTGGTGTTTCTGTCTCTTTGTTTCCTGACTATGTGCAGCACGCAAACCTTCCTGTCTGCTTCCTCCACCTCCCGTGCAAAGAAGGGACTGAGTGAAGGTGACTAGAGGAGGTTTGTTCGTCCTTGTCAGCTCGTGTTAACCAGATTCCCATTGCCCTTAAAGAAACCATCTTTAGCTCTCGGAGACCTCATCAAATTTTCATCTGTGAAGGAGGAAAGTGAAAGCCTAGTAATCGTTAGCCAAGTTCTTTTGGGGGAAAAAAAGACAGCAATAAACATACGTTTTTGAAAAAACACTGCAACAAAACAGGGTCATTATTGTGCTGTTCCTTGAGAATATAAATCAGGCTTTCCTGTAATTGCATGTTTTTAAGGCAAATTTGGAACACGAAGCAGAGGAAACATATGTCCCTTCTGGGTGCTCCTGTGTTTGGCAGGGCCTGGAACTTCCTAACTGCCACCACCAGCGAGTCACATTCGATCACTAAGATACTTGAATGACGTGTTTTCCTACAAATAAAAAAACAGGGGGAAATGCCTGACTATTTTATATCCAAACGATTGCGGCTCTACAGTGATAATCGTAAATAAGTCAGTCTACAATCATGGATTGGACTTTTAAAGGCACCAGCCACTGCCAAGCAACGCATTTGCTCCATTCAAATGCAATTTCGTAGAAAACTACCTGCATCCTTCCCTTGGAGGCTCTATTAGAGGGAGTTCTAGGAGCCCTGACTCGGCAGTCTCCCCAAGGCAAGCAGGTTTAGATGAGAGTGGTTTTCCCAGAAGGGTTCATTTGCCTGCTGGTTGCTCGTTTACATTGCAAATGAGCTCTTCTATTGTTAACAACCAAGCGTCATTTTGTTCCTTGCAGTAAGAGTCTCCTCTGTCAGTGTGGTTTACAGATAATTTCTCTTCTACGACAGGGGAATTGACTAATTAATTGAATAAAGTATCCCTTTGAAAACCTATTTCTTCCTACTGGGCCTTTCTGCTCCCTGCCTCTGTCTCAGGATAGCTTCCCTTTTGAAAATGAAGTATTATAGAAGTGGGAGGAGGGACGACGGGTGGATGGATGGTGGATGGATGATGGATGGATGGATGGATGGATGGATGGATGGATGGATGGATGGATGGATGGGAGAAAGGCAAGCAGGCCAGCCTGTGTCATGAGTGGCTGTCCCTACAGTTTCAGAACGTAGACATGACCTGGAAGTCCTAAGAGTCAGAGAGGACTCCAGAAGGGCAAGGAGACGGGTCCCGAAGGGAACGAGCTTCATGCAGTTATGATTATTCCTATAAACTGAATCTGAAGTAGTTCCCAAAGGCCCAAGGATCAGAGTCTTGATCCGAAGCCCACGGCACTCTTGGGATGGTGGTGGCATCTAAGGGGCGGGGTTTAGTGGGCGGAAGTTAAGACCTTGGGAGTGTTGTCTTGAAAGGAATGTTGAGAATCTGGTCTTTGCCTCCTAGCAGCCATGAGGTGACTGGGACTTCTTTGCTACATGCCTCCTCCTCAGTGGACTGTGAGGCCACAGACCCAAAGCAACAGGCAAGGCGCGTTTCCCGTGGACTGGAACTTCGGACACGGGACTGAGTTGCGGTAAACCTTCCCTCCTCGGGAGCCATTTGCCCTGGGCGCTGTCACAGCAATAGGAAGCTGGCAGAGTTGTGAGAACACTTTTTTTTTTTTTTTTTTTGTGAGACCACTTTTTAAAGAAGAGAGCTCGCCACATGAGTAAGGGAAACGAGTGGTCTGGGGGATTGTATGGAGGCCTCCCCAAATCACAAGGATAGGAAACCTTTAAAAAGACTGTCTTGGGGCCCGGAGAGGTGGCTCAGTGGTTAAAAGTCCTTGTTCTTACAGAGGACCTGGGTTTGATTTTCAGAACCCACATCGTAGGTCACACACATTTGGAGCACCGTTCTAGGGGATCCAGTAGGCACATACGTGGTACACATACACGAATGCTGACAAACATTCTTACACATAAAATAAAATATTTTTGAAAAAAAATCTAAAAAATAAAAATAAAATACTGTCTTGCTTTAGGAAGGCTGAGACTGGAGGGTCAGGAGGTGTTCAAGACCAGTCTGGGCTACACAGAAACAAACAAATCACTCAAAAACATTAAGCCAAAATCATCATTTTTTTTTTTTTTTAGATCTATTAGGTGTCAGAAGATCAGTGAAGTGACTTCAATGTTAAAATAATTCACACAGGCTCAGGGATTCCTTCTGCTGCTGTGTAACCATCGCTGTTTCGTGTGCGTTTTACTTGATGGTAGCAATTACTAACGCATGTGGCCTCCAGCACATGTCACACACACAGCAGGTCAGATTGCCCCAGCCTCCCCTGCCACATTCATCTTTGATCAGCTAGTAGTTTTGCTCTTTCCCAAATATGTGAGCCAGCCAACCACAGTGAACAGAGCTCTCTGACCGATTCTGGCGTCACCGACTCCGGTGAGAAATCAGAGCTCCTTGAGCCCTTGGGATTTTGTGGTTGTTACACAGCATTACCCTAGGCAATAGATAGCTGATACACTATTGATGCATGCCAATACTGGATTGCATCCCAGAGCTGGAATATCACTCCCACCAGGGGTATGTATGCATGTACACACACATACATTTGTGAAATGTGTTTATCTTAAATATGTGTAAGGCACTGTGTTATTTTGCTCCCATTTAATTGTGTTTTCCTCCTAAATTGGGGTCCTTCATCTACTAAACTAATGTCGTAGTCCAGTGCTAGGCCAGAACCTGCAGTTTGGAAGCCACAGGATGCTCTGTAAGTCTTTGTTACCATGGAGTTCTCAACTGTAAATAATGGGCACAGCGGGCACGTAACTAATGTGTGAGACAAGCTTACAGCTACAGGCATCCCGCATTTGCCTCATCCACCTCCCCCACCTCCGGGATCTGACCGTCCCCTTTCAGGACTTCAGAGGTACCACTTTGACGTCTCCTTCAGGGACAGTTTAGGAGTCATTATTCCTGGCTGCAACTAATGAGTGAATCTTCGGTAGTGCTGGCCATGATGGTGGCTGGCTGGCTGCCCCCCCGACCCTGACAGACCCACCCCCAGAAACAGGAACGTCCAGAGTCTGTAAGACTGTCTGAGTGAGGCCCAGAAGGAGGTCAGGAACCTCACATATCAGGGATGGGGTCTGCTGTGCATAGGTGCCCAAAAACCACCTGAGCAAACTACAAGATCGCACGCTTCTGGATGGATGAACTGACAAGATCTCACACTTCTGGTTTTTGTTTTATCTCCAAGGGAAGGAAATTCAACTTGATTCTTTCTACCTTTAAAAGTCTAGGGGCTGGAGAGATGGCTCAGTGGTTAAGAGCATTGCCTCGTCTTCCAAAGGTCCTGAGTTCAATTCCCAGCAACCACCTCGTGGTTTACAACCATCTGTAATGAGGTCTGGTGCCCTCTTCTGGCCTGTAGGCATACACGCAGACAGAATATTGTATACATAATAAATAAATAAATAAACAAATAAATATTAAAAAACATCTAGCCCCATGTGTCACCAATCACGTCACCAATCAAACTGCAGAAGAGGACACTGTGGTCTGGATGTGGTCTTTACATCAGAGGTCCCCAGTGTGGCTGTGTTTGGCTGTGAGACCTTTAAGAGGCGGGGCCTGGCGGAGAGTAAGGAGGGAGAGGAGTGCTCACAGGATCTGATTGGCTCTAGATAGGGAGGAATCATATCTTCTGCTTGCTGCCTGCTGCCTGCTGCTTCTTCCCTGCCACAGTAGAATACAACCCTCTTGGTCCTCTCCAGACACAGGGAGGGGAGGGCTTCTGGTGCCACAAGAACCACAAGCCAAACAAACCTCTTTATATATGGCAGACGTTTTGTTATAGTAACACAAGCAGGCTGGGGCAGTGGGATTCCATGCTGTGAGTGCTTCAATGGCATCAAGAACGGCCCCCACCTTAATGGATCTCCCCGCTGGCTGTAACAGATATTCCAGTTGCCACCACCCTTGTAGCTGTTTAGCTACTCAGCCTTCCCAGACAACAGTAGTAGTGTCTTCAACGGACTGAGAGCGAACCGTCTAGAAATGTCTTGGGAACAAGAAGAGGGGAAGGATGAAGTACAATATGAAGAAGCCGGCCTAGGGTGGTGTGAGCAAGTTTGGGCTCCGCAGAGATGAAAGGAATCTGGTGTTCCTAGTCATAAGTGGGGGCCAGTTCACACGCGGGCAGATCCTAGTCACAAACCCGGGGCCAGGTCCTCCTGCCTACTTTCTTCCTGGGCTCTTTGCTGCCATCTGTCAGTGAAGACAGGAGTCTGACAATGTCTTCTTTTCCTACATCCAAAGCCAACATTCTGCCCCACGAACAACTCTGGCTCTTGTCTGTTCCAACATAAAATTAAAATAGCTCCTGCGTGCTTGTTTTCCCACAGTGAATTTAAATCCACACCATTTTTAGGCTGTCTCTCTTGTTTGGCAATGACATCATCCAACAGTCCTCTGCACTCTTGACTATGTGCCCGCTCCCACACCCCCACCCTGAGAGTTTCTGATCCTATCATATTTCTGACATGGGAAAAAAACAACCAGACCCAGTGTGGTCCTAAGCAATACTTCCCAGGGAGGTACAGACCTCAGACAAAACCCAAGCTATGCCATCTCCATCTTTCAGTTATGCTCAAAAGGTTCTGTTTTCGAGGGGATCCATCTTTCTCTTTAGAAACATCCTCTAATTCTCCTGGGGTGGGAATCGCTGGATCTTATGGTGTTTCTCATCTTAGCTTTTTAAAGGACCGTCCATGAAGCCGCCATCCCAAAAGATGAGCTAGTTTTAGGGATCTGCTATGAGGCATGGTATAGTGGCCAGAACCATACTGGACTGTGCACCTAAAAATTTACCTAATAGGGTGGGCCTCTAGCTGTGGTTAGCTCAGTTGGTAGAATGTCCCCTCCCATGCATGGGGCCCTGGGTTCGATCCCCAGAATCTCATAAAAGGGGTGTGGTAGAACATACCCATAATCTTGCACAAAGAATGTGGAGACAGAAGAATCAGAAACTCAAGGTCATGCTGGGCTATGTGAGGAATTTGGGGACAGCCAGAGCTATGTGAAAGCTTTTCTCAAAAACAAACAAACAAACAAACAAGTGAAGTGAGACCCGTGGTCAGGGAATGCTCCTAATTCGTACACAGAAGGGTCACTAGGGACTTTTAGGGTTGAGGGATATCTGTTACCCTGACTGTGGGGACAGTTTCACAAGCCTCAGTTTATGATCAGATTCATCAATTGTGTGTGCTAGACGTGTGCAGTTTATTGTACTATTGTACTACACGTAAATCACGCCACAGTGAAGCTGTTTAGAGAGAGGAGACTGAAACCACAGCTATGTGAGCCAGCTGGAAAGGGAACCACAGATTCCCAGGAGGCCCCCACAGCTGGGAGTCTCAGCGTGAGGCAGTCGGTCGCAGGTGGTTTTGCCGTGTGCATTTCACACTCTGGCTCAGCACTCATGTAGAGAGCCGACGTCCCATGATGCACTGCCCGTGCTTACGCTGGAAGACACACTCAGGTGCTGCCTACTACATGGAGTTAGTTTTGATGGCCACCATAACCCACTCAATCAATTTCCTGACCCGCTGATCTTACCCACAGTTTGATGACCCCTGCACACAACAAAGCTCCTCTTGATGCATTATCCATTATGACGATGACAGAAAGAACCAACCCCAGTGTTTATCTCCTGTCCTTCCCAACCTTACCATGCAGCACAGGCCCTGCTTCTGCTCCTCAGATGCTGTGGGCCATAGTCAAATGTGCTCCTTCCTCGGTTTCACACGGTTATAATAAACTCCTACACATCCCTCAAGCCCCATCTCCAATGTTGCTTCCCTACGAAGCTTTCTCTGGGTCTCTTGGTCATTTTCTCCTCTTTGGGAGCATGTACATGATTTTCAAATACATGACTTCTTGCTTCCTAAAAACTGGCTGGAGTCCCTCATTTGCACAGATCTTGGTGTTTCTGAGTTGTTTCCCAAATGTTTATCTTTAAATGGTCTCGGTTGAAGATAGTATGAAAAACACTATCCTTCTTGGAGTCATTCTAAACCAGAGCAATCATGAGACCCGGATGTGATGTACTTACTATCATCCCAGCGGACAGGCTCGGTTTGCATTCTGCTGCTGTGATGAGCACCAGAACCAAACACAACTCGGGGAGGAGAGGGTTTCTTTGGCTCACATCTCTCAACCACATTCTTTGAGCAGAGTCAGGGCAGGAGCTCAAGAAAGCAACCGAGGGGCAGAAACTGAGGCAAGAGCCACAGAGGAACACTGGTTACTGGCCTGCTTTCCATGGCTTACTCAGTCTGACTTCTTATATAACCGAAGACCACCTGCCTAAGGGTGGCACCACCCACAGTGGACTGGACCCTCCCATATCAATCATAAATTCATTAAGAAAATGTTCCACAGGTTTGCCTACGGTCAATCTAATGGAGGCATCTTCCCAACTGAAGTTCCTTCTTCCCAGATGACTCTAGCTTGTGTCAAGTTAACAACAACAAAAACCACAAGGACATAAACCTTGACCAAAAATACCCCTACCTCTCTTTTATCCCTTTTGTCTTTGCTCAGGACCAAACCCAAGACCTTGTGTTTGCTAGACAAGTGCTGTACCATTAAACCAAAACCCATGTTTATTTCTTAAAACCTCACCCTGATGCCACCTAAAACCACCTTTGAGGCAAAGCCCTACTAGCCAGGTCAAGTTCTGGGATAAAGTCTGTTAAGTGTGGTTTCCTCCAGGGCTAAGCTCATGTGCCCTCTCTATAAGTGTTTGGGACTTGGGTCACTGGAATTTATTTAAACACAGATAGTATCAGCATGGCTATAATTTATCCAAGGATCTAAGAAAGAAAAGAATGGAGCTGGGCCTTGGAAAGAAAGGAATAGAGCTGGTCCTTGGAAAATTGTGAGCGGGGGTAGTCGTATGAATAGGTACGGCCTCCATAGACTCATATGTTTGAATGCTTGGCCCATAGGAAGTATCACTATTAGGAGATATGACCTTGTCGGAGGAAGTGTGTCACTGTGGAGGAGGGCTTTGAGGTCTTATATACTCAAGCTCCACCCAGTGCAACACAGTTGCTTCTGCTGCCTGAGGATCAAGATGTAGAATTCTCAGCTCCTTCTCCAGTACCATGTCTGCCTGCACACTGTCTTGTCCTACATGGACTGAACCTCTGAAACTGTAAGCCAGTCCCAATTTAGTGTTTTCCTTTATAAGAGTTGCTGTGGTCATGGTGTCTCTTCACAGGAATAGAAGCCCTAAGACTGGGCATGTGAAAGAGAGAGAAAAGAGGCATAGAGGCTAGCCAGGCCCTGGGGGGCACCTAGAGGTGTTCTAATAGCCAAGGGGTAGGCACCAAGCGGATGCAGAGGGATCTGATTATGGCCCCTGGTTTTCACTGTGTCGCTGGCAATGGGTGAATTCCTGATATGCTTAGTGGCCCCAGCCCCTAGCTCTGCTAGAGATTGCCCTGGGGATGAGCGTGCAGTCCACTGGCTGCTTTCTTACCTTTTCAGCCCTCAGACTCTGGGTCAGGTCTGCATGGTGCAGAGGTGTCTTCCTGAGTGTAGGCTCCTGAGTGCTGACTGAGTGGCTACGCATCCTTTCTCCAGTGAGGCAGGCCCGCAGCAGCCAGGCAGGGGGCTCCACGCTCTGAAGGCCGGACTCCCTTGAAGGCTGAGGCCTTGTGGGAGATGTCTGAGCTCGAGGCATCACAGGCTCCCTCAGGATGGCTGCTGGTATCAGGATGCTGCAGACACCAGAAAGACATAGTTCCTTTGGAGGACTCTGAAGGACTGAGACTCACCTGACCTGGAATGTGTGTGCATCGCTCCGAGCAGCCTAGATAGCCATAGCTTTAGCTAGGACTCTCAAATTCAGAAAAGGCTTTTAGGGCTGTGAGGGCAGAGTCTCTATCTTAAGGGATCAAGAGAGGAAGCATAAATTTAGCCCTTCTCACTGTGGAAAGAAAGGGAAGAAGAGCAGGAGGAAGGGTTGATCCTAATACTCAGGTGTTCATAGGTGGTTTCTGTTCTAAACAGAAAATAGCAAGGAAGCAAGGATGCGTCCAGGCAAAACCTGTGCAAGTAAAGGATTGTAATTAAATAAAGTCAACAACAACGTGAATCTGACATGTATTTCACGATAATTTTTATTGTAGTACATGGTAATTAGATATAAATGATGGGATGTTTAAACAATAATCCTAATTACAGTTCATTTTGCCACAGTGTCACGGAATCCCTAATGGGGCCTGGAGTGGCTGGTTCACCCAGAGAGGGTTTGCATCACACAGAAACAGAGACATTGATGGCTTGTAGACTTCTCTTCTGAAGCTCGGAGACCTTCAGGTATTTGCCACTAGGGTGGCATCCTCTAGTCCCCTGCTAAAACTACAGGGCAAAAATCTTGCTTGATGGATCTTCTGATTAACAGACCAGAGAGAAACTTTCCTCTTTGGTTGCCCAACAAGGCAAAAGGAGCTTGTAATCCCATTTCTCCTTGTTTTAGGAGTCAGCAGATCAATTATTCCATGGAGAGGCTTCGCCGTACCATGGTCTCCTCTGGCCCCGCATTCCAGTTAGCCACCAGCCCACCGAGCTGAGCTCTGTCTCAGGCTACACTGAGCAACTATGCCATTCCTTCTCTACCTGTTCTCATCACCCGCTGACCCCCGACAGCTCCTTCGTCTACTCTCTGCGCATGCCCAGTCCGCAGAGACACAGAAAGTATATCAAAGAAAGCTGGCGCGAGAAGGAGCTTAAAGAGCGCTAAGCAATTCAGACAAGAGCTAATCCAAACCATCACAGGGGTGCGTTTGTACGGTAGTCAGATCAGAGCCAACACGGGCGCCCTGGGCTCCCTAGAATTCTGTCTGCCAAATGTGCTTGCAAGGCTGGGAGACAGCAGCCTGCTTCAGATCATGAGCTGGCATGCCCTGGTTGCCCATGGCAACCCAGCTGCACTGGAGTGCTAGCGTTTGTAAACGTGTGTGGGCTTAAAATGGTATTATTGATTCTGTCTGAAAGACGATAGTCTGATTTGTGTATCGCTTGGAATAAATTAATCGTTATCCTTTACAGCCAGCGGAGTATGAATTTCCGTCTTCCCCACCTCGCCATTTTTAGTTGAGAGACAGCAAATTGCAACAGCAGATGCGAAATGAAATGTTTCCCATAACAACCACAGTAGATAAATCAACATCCAGAGGACCCTCCTGGAGAGCCGTCCGGCATCGCTGAACAAATAACAAAGTGGAAGGGAGTGGGAAGGAGCCAGCGCTGGGGCAGCCTATTCTAAACAGACTGCAGGGTGTAGGATGAGCTACGATGAGAGGCAGCTGTGGAGAGCGAGAACTACGGGTCTGCCCTGGGCACCCTGGCTCTGCACTTGCTGGGCGTTTTCCTTCTGTTGTCTGTAACACGCTGAATATCCCTGGGCAGATTGGGGTACCACTTCTCCAATTCCTCTCCTTCTGTGCCCCCTCCCAGGGACTCTGCGCATCCTCCCATGAAAGCCATCTTGCATTGTCCTTGGCCATGGCCTTGGTTTTGTAGCTTGCTTTGACTAATTTGACGAAATGGCAGAGAGCCAGTTCTGAGATGAGACTTTTAAAGGCTTGGAGAGTTGTCCTGCTAGGCTTCTGTTGTCCCCATGAGAAGAGCCTGCCTGGGGAACCTCTGTGCCCATCAATGGGAATGCAAATGAACACATGGTGGACAGCCACTATCCCCACCAAATCCAGCCACCAGCCCTCAGCTTGGAGAGTTTCCCAGTCAGTTACTCCAGCCAAGCTGCAGATACATGCCCAGTGCCGAATGCAACCAAGGTTTTGTGGATGCTTCTTAAGAAGCCGTGGCTGTCTAAAATTGCCCTCCAACTGTCTTTAATACCACGGTCTTCAGTGATGCAGTTTGATTATGGTTTGCCCATAAATGCCCACTGTGATCAAAAGTCCCATTTGCAGGTGGCAGTGATGGGAAGTGTTGTGGCACATTTGGTCCTCAGAGGCGTGAGGTAGTTCACAGGTGAGTTCTTCAGAGAGCCCTGTGGAAAGAAGCAAGTCTGACCCTTGTTCTCTGCTCCCGGTTGGGGGTATAAGGCTTGGCTTGGCCTTATGCACACTTTTGGCGTTATCTTTTAGACCTTGAGGAGGTGAGGCCACGGGGTGATCTTTGTTGAGCCAGCACCATTGTTGAGCCTCACACTGCTGTGAACTAAATTTCATGCATTATTAGAATTTCAAGTCACACTGGGTGTTGACTGTGTACTGTACCCCGAGACACAGTTATCACTGCTGGAGCATTGTGAAGGCCAGTGACTGAGAGAAACCTGCAAGAGTCTCAACTCTGGGGCTGGAGAGATGGCTCAGAGGTTAAGAGCACTGACTGCTCTTCTAGAGGTTCTGAGTTCAAATCCCAGCAACCACATGGTGGCTCCCAACCATCTGTAATAAGATCTGTTGTCTCTTCTGGCCTGCAGGGACACATGCAAGCAGAATGCCATATACATAATTAATAAATATATCTTTAAAAAAAGTCTCAACTCACTTCTGTGCTTAGGGAAGTTCACCCAGAGATGAGTAGGGATATGCTTGAGTGGCGAGAATAAATGAATTTATCCCCCTCAGAACTGTAAACACTGCCTCTATCCATCTCAGAATGACCATTTCTACAGAATGCTACCGTCCTACCCTTGTGCTTTTTCTGTCCTCCATCTTTCCCACTTCTCAGTGTCTCATTTCAGACATGACCGCACGACCTGACTTTGACCACTTATGTTTGAGTAGATGCCTACAGAGTCGCTTTTTGGACAAGATTGTTGTGTCTGAGACATAAAGGAGAAATTCCCTCTACACTGACTTCAGGGGGAGATGCCCTTCTTCCACCTTGCAGCTGGGAAAGCTCCATCCCCCAGGGTTGATGCTGGGAAATAAGTAGTTTTCTAACATTTAGGTGTGGTGAGTCCGAAGCTGGTTCTTGTGGTTCCACAAGATTAAGGGATGTTTAGGCCATAATTCAATGGATCATTTCATCTTATTTGGGGAAACAGCAATTGTTTGCTGCCTCAGGCACACTGGTGGTGGTCTTATCACCAACTTAATATTATAGTTGCAACAGTCAGAAAGAACACACCTTTTTCTTCCACAGAGAGAGCGTGTCACCTCAGACGCAGGTCGGGTTTTTATTTTATTTTGAAAGCAGGATCTTGAATAGGTCAAACTGGCCTCAGCCTCCAGATCCTCTTGCTTCTGCCCCTGGAGTGTTAGAATTGTGGGCATGCGCAACCAGGTGCCTGCACACTTTTGACAAGCATTTCGTCAACCCTTGGCAAGTGAGGAGGGGGCTGGGAGATTGACTTGTGCGTATTCTAGAATTTATTTTCCTGCGAATGTGGAAGAGACTCATGGAAGGGCATGAGAGAAAAAAATTAGAATTCTGTGGTCAGGAGAAGATTGAAAACTGACCCAGAAAGTGCTCAGAAGGAAAAGAATTCACGGTGACCACTAGTCCCTTGAGCAAGCGGCTTCTGAGGTCACGGCTGCTGAGATTGTGAAGGGTTCAGGACAGTCCTCCACTGCTCTGGATGGCCCTCTCTTTATCCAATTAATGCTTCGGAAAGAGCTTTAATTCAGCATTAATCAAAAGCTCTCTTATTTTCAGGATCAACTCCAGTTCAAGTGTGTGTGTGTGTGTGTGTGTGTGTGTGTGTGTGCGCATGTGTGTGTGTAATCAAGTTATCAAGGCAGAGGGTCTGATTATGAGGAAAATTTCCATAGCAACAGCTAGTTAGAACACAGAGCTGGAGCCATCTCTGGGCATGTTGTTCTTTCCAGGCTCAGGGGGAGCTGGTCACGGTGAGTGAGACAACGTTTCTCCATCTTCCTTGACAACATAAACAGTTACCTTCCTCATGTAGCCTGCTTTTACAGTAAACAGATCCAGGCCTATACCCCAAGCTAAGAACATTTTTATGAGAGTTTTCTCCCCCCCCCAACACAAACAGAAGTAACTTCTCCCTTACCTGTTATCCTGGGAAGTTTCTAACCTTCCCAGAGCAGAACATGACCTCTGTCTCCAGCTCATGGTAGCAAGGATTCCCAGAACCCCTTCACTGAAATCGTGTCCACTCAGCTCCTTGGAACCGTTTTAGATGACCAGAGGGATGCTGCATACAGAAAACGGTATGCTTTCTCGCTGGGAGCAGCCCACATTGATGAAGGCTGCCCAGGACAGAGGCTCCGGTGCCAAGTCTGTGCCAGGATCTGTAACGGAAGGACCTGCAGGCTGTAGGTCCCTCCTTCTTCCACTCCTCCCCGGTAATCCCTTCACAGGTGTCAGAAAGCGATAGCCACGTGACACTGTGGGACAGGAGGACCATGAGAGAGGGAACAGCTCGGGCACACGTCGGCACCTTAGTCAAAGTGTGCTCAACATGAGCGTGACACACAAGGTACCATCTTGCTGCCCAAGACTGGACCCTACTTATCAGCCCTCCTCTCCCCCAACTTCCCCATCTCCTGTATCAAACCTCAGTCTTGAGGCGGCTTGGGATAGAAACTCCACAATCACCCGAAGCCTTCTTTCTCCCACTATAGACAGCCAGCCCCCCATTACGTCCTGTTGGCTTTACCTCTACTGCAGACCCATCCACACCCCCAGTCCTCCTGGGCTGGCACAGCCTCCTCGCCTTGTGTGGACTTTGACACAGCCTCCAATGACTCTTGCTGTCTGTCTACTTCTCTTCCAGATAGAACAGACGTGACTGAGTCAGATATGATGGCAATCCTCTCAAACCCAGCCACACTTCTCATCTCATTGGAAGAAAAATTCAAAGACTTTACCTTACTATGGCCCCAGAGGCACCTCCGTCTTGTCTGGCCCCTCCGTCCTCTCTGCCCCCCCCCTTCTCTCTCCAGTAGGGCAGGCAGAACTCTGCGCTCATTTCCCAGCCAGGAGACTCCCCCCCCTCAAGAGCAAGAGTTCCCCTCCTCAGTCACAGCCACCAGTGACAAACTCAATGCTATTTCCTCGCACCCTTAACCCCCTTCCAAGGCAACAGTTGTCCCTTTAGCCCATTTGATGTTTTTTTTTTTCTCATTCCAGGGTTCCTCACTGCATTGAGAGTTCATGGCACACTATGCATGTATCTTAGACATGTGTGTGTTTTTCTGTTCTTCCTTTGCTGTAACATACAGTTCTTATTTAGTTCATGGCACACTGTGTATGTATCTTAGACATGTGTGTGTTTTCTGTTCTTCCTTTGCTGTAACATACAGTTCTTATTTAGTTATCATTTCCCCCTTCGTAGCATAAGAGCCATGAACATAAATTTATCTTTTCATAATGAGTCCCCAGAACCTAGGATTATGCGTGTACGACATAGTTGAATAAATGAACAAGCAAGGCAGGGAGCGAGCGAGCCAACAAGCGAGCGATGTTTTCCAGTTTGCCAACAGCTTCCAAAGACTTCATCTACAAAATCCTTACAGTAATCCCGAAGTGTTGCTGCTCTCACTCCAGAGGAAGAAAGAAGCCCAGAGGGGGCGTGGCTCACTTCAGCTTCAGTGGTCCCTGTGGTATGATCCTTTCTGTTTGGGAATGGGCTGGCTGAGCTCTGCCCTGACTGGGCTCCTTTGACTTGTTCCCACACCTGTCACCTCTGGCCTCCCATAAACTTCTATAGAAAGGGTAGGGATGCACTAAACGTTTTTATTTAAAATTTTTAAGATCTTGAGTTTCATGCCTGAGTGCTGTAGTTACATCATTTCCAGCCCTCCCCATATCCACTCTCTCTCAAATTCATGACCTCTTATTGTTTCACACACACTCACGCGTACACACACAGCACACTTCTGTTCAGTGTTGGTCATATGTACATGTGTTTAGGACTGATCATTTGAGGTTGGAGAACCTATCAGTGAGCTCAGCCCTGGAGGGCACACATTCTCCCTCAGCTGTTGAACGCCTGTAGGTCTTCACGTAGAGGCGGGTCCTCGTGAGATTCTCCCCACTCTACCCACACTGCAATGTCAACTGGTGTTGCCATTATGCAGGTATTGTTTTAGGCAACCATAATTTTGAGATTTCATAGGTATAGTTTTCCTGTCAGGTCTAGAAGCCACCGTAGCTGCCGTGGTCCCAGCCCTCTGGCTCTTACAATCCTTCTGTTCTTTTTTAAATCTTAGGTGCGATCCATGCGTTCTTACCCAGTATAGAGCGCTGATGTTAAGGTCAGGTTTGCTTTGGTGACTTCTGTTTTGGGTTAGCTGTGTTTCCCCTGTGCCTCAGAGGAATGTTCTCCTGTCCAAAGTCCATTCCATTCCAGGTAGGAAGAGGAGCATGAGCTTTACTGACTCTGTGTGTGCGCGTGTGTGCGTGCGTGTGTGTTTCTGTAATAGTGCTTCGATTAGCAGTGCCAAATAAACTAGTTTTATATCTCTCCTATTTAAAGAGCTCCTTAGCGTGAGCTTATAAAAGTGTTATCTTGAGCAGACTGCCAGACGGCCGAGCAACAAGAAAGTAGGTTAGAAAATGGCGAGATCCCATTTATAAGCAACGTTTGACAAATTAGCTAACAGTGGTGGTGAGTCTGCTTCCCCCATCCCCATAGTAACCAGGACCGCTTTGAAGTTGTCTACTAGCGTTTTGGATTGAGATTTTCTAGCTTACTCCTTCACTTAGCAAGGTAGCGGGACTGTTTCTAAGCCAGTGCCAACGGAAACGTGCGCGTGACTTTCCATTCTGAGGTCACTGCCTCCATCAGTTCCTCCCCTGTGGCTGCGATCCAAATGCCACAACCATGGCAGCTTACAGAAGAGAGAGTTTCTTCTGACCTTCGGTTCCAGAAGGCTAGCAGCAGGTAGGCATAGCAGCTGGAACAGCCACATACACAGACAGAGGACAGAGGGCAGTGGAGGTGGGGAGGAGGCTGGAAAAGGCCAGATTTGAATTCTCAAAGCCCATCCCACGTGGCATACTTCCTCCAGCAAGGCCACCTCCTACACCTCCCCCAAACAGTGCCACTAACTGGGGACCTATCCCTCAAATGTCTTAGCCTACGAGGACCATTCTCATTTAAACTGCCACACTACAGGCCCTTGCTTGATGGACAGAAAGCTTTCTGACACTTTCTTACATCTCACCTGTCTATTTGATAAATGCAGATGGTAAACTTTAAATGTAAAATTACCATCGATATGAGGAGCTCGTTAACAAGAAATTAAACAAAGTAGCATCATAGAAGGACTGTCTTCAACAGTTGAGCATGGGAGGAAATGATACGGACTGACACAAAGAAAGATGGCTGCGGGAAGACGCAGACACACCGGTGTACCTGTAATGCTGGAGTTGAGGTCTGAGTGACGAATCTGAGATCACCAGAAGCCGGAAGCAGCAGGGATGGTGCCTGACAGGCTTGGGAAGGACATCGCCAGGTGTGGCGGCTTAAATAGGTACGGCCCTATAGACTCACGGGTTTGCATGCTTTGCTTAGTCCAGAGCGAGGGACACTATTAGATGGTGTGGCCTTGTTGGAGTAGGTGTGGCCTTGTCGGAGGAAGTGTGTCACTGTGGGGGTGGGTTTTGAGGTCTCATATACTCAAGCTACACACAGTTGCTTCTGCTGCCTGCAGATCAAGACATAGAACTCTCCTCCGGCACCATGTTTGTCTGCACACCGCCATGAAGAGCAGGGACTGAACCTCTGAGCTGTAAGTCAGCCCCAATTAAATGGTTTCCTTTATAAGAGTTGCTGTGGTCTTGGTGTCTCTTTACAGCAAGAGAAACCCTAACTAAAACACCCAGATAACACCTTGATTGATTTTTTTTTTTTTTTTTTTTGATTTTCGAGGCAGGGTTTCTCCGTAGCTTTTGGTTCCTGTCCTGGAACTAGCTCTTGTAGACCAGGCTGGCCTTGAACTCACAGAGATCTGTCTGCCTCTGCCTCCTGAGTGCTGGGATTAAAGGTGTGCGCCACCACCGCCTGGCTAACACCTTGATTTTTACCTCTAGTACCCAGTATTACAAGACTACATTTTTTTAAAACTTTGCTTAAAGCCATTTAGCTCATGGTACGTGGTTAATACCCTAGGAGACAAACTCCAACCATCATGAAGTCCCCTCCCCAATACTGTTCGTTTCATCTCTGCCAATATGGCAAATCCTTGCCTGAGTTTTCTTGGCGATGATTTAAATTAATTCTTATTTAGAAGAAGTATTTAAAAATTGTCCACTGGACTTTGCTATAGATGATGTAAATAGCTCATTGTCCCTTTGTCTCTTAAATATTTATATGACAGAGAATTTTTTGAGACTAAACACTGTTTTAAATTTGTTTTGACCATAGTGAAGGTTTTATGTCTTAGAAAGACAGATTTAACAGTCTCTCTAAGTTTTTGAATTTTACATGCTTAGTTAGAAAAGACTTCCTTAGCCACAGACTTAAAAAAAAAAAAACAAGCCAACAAAAAAGAAATTTCGAGAAGCTGAATCATTTTTCCTTTCTTTAAAAAAAAGTGACAATTGAACAAAGAAGAGGCAGAATGGAGTGGCGAGGACTGAAAGGAATAGAACTAGACACTTGGTGCCAACAGGTACGGGAGCACGGCTGCCTGCCGAGACAAAGGTGCTTGTTGTTGCTGAGTAGACCTGGTCCTTACTGCTGCCCCCCTGTAGGCCCTGACCAAGAGCAGGGGACTGCGGCACTGCCCCAAGGCTGCAAATACAATGGTCATGCTGGTCGAGCCAGCCGGGTGGCTGGTACCCAGGGAGGCGTGGTGTCCTGCACTCTGGAGTTTGCTCAGGTTCTGCCCCCTGACATGCTGCCCAACCATAGGATTACCTTGACTCGATATCCAAGATAAAGAATAGTTCATTTTCTGGATTAAGGCCCTCCAAAGACTTCTGTGGTTTGAGATGCTGCTGGAAGCCATGTTGGTGTCTGTGGTTCCTGCTGCCACGAGGAACCACATTCATGTCCATGATCCATGCTGCTATCAGCTGCTATGGACAAGGAAGCTTCTTTGGCAGTGGTATTGACGACTGCAGACTCATAACTGAGAATGAGAGACATTAAAGGCGACAACCTCTCCCACCCCGCATCTCCTGAAAATAAATAGTCCAGATATGAAGTCCTACAATTGTGATGAAGATACTGAAGGATAGCTCTTCACGGTTGATGGCTTCTCACCAGTGCATGTGTGGGGCACACTGTTTTTTTTAAGGGGCTGAACACTGGGAGTTTAAACATGCAATGCATCCTGGACTTGTTGGGTTTTCCTTTTCTATTTTTTTGGGGGTGGGAGGGTTGGGGAGTGCAAGGGTGGGAGGTTGGATTTGGGAGGAATGGGAAGTGAGTGTGATGGGGTGCATTGTATGAAATTCCCAAATAATTAATAAGACATTTGCTAGGGAAAATTTATACTATGTCAACATAAAGAATAAGTATATTTATTATATATTATTATTCATCTATCTGGCATTTGTTTTTATTGATGAGTAATATATAATAAGTACATCTTTTCCCTGAAAAGGTTAGCTTTTGTGGTAATGTATTCAATAAGCCAGTTTCTATGCAGCTTTTTATTGGCACCTTTATTAAATATCAAGCTCTCACATGCATATAATTTATTAATATATATAATTTATGTCTTTTTCTAGACTGTTTTTGTGTCATTAGCCTCGTCTCACCTTGCACCTGTAGCACAGTTCTGAATGACTTTCAACACATTTTTGTGTTTATGAGGGAGATGCTGAGGTTTACCCTGCTTTCCATCATAAATCCTCTGACCTTTCTAGATACGTACTCTGTTCAAATGCGTTTTCAATGTTTTCACTTTGAATTCTGTGCACAGCCATGCAGCAGCCATGCAATGACTATCCTTGGAAATGTGTTGAAATACGGAGGTCAATTCAGGAAACCCTGGCTCCTGTGACCTCTTCTCTTCCTGCTGGAGATGCCAGTGGCCTAGCAGTTCCTCAAGGCCAGCTTTGTGAACCAAGTGAGTCTCAGGAAGTTTCCTCATGTAGGTTCCATACACTTTCAGAGAAATGTTATATATCTTATGGGCTTGCACACTTATGTATCTGCAATAAAAGTTAAATAAAAACTGAAAAAGAATAAAAATCCTTTCATGATGAATTATTGAATAACAGATTCTTCCCATCAACCAAGGAAACAAACAAAGGAGGCTGTGCTGCCACAGGGTCACCTGCAGTTCGGCTTCAGGAACCTACAGAAATCTCAGAGGGACACCCAAGGGCCGTTTCCATTCCAGACTGTGTTGAAAATGTAAAAGAAAAGGCCTAAAGTCCTCTATCACGCCTGTCGCTGTTCCTACTTGGATATCTCGAGAGCTGGGGATGATGTCACTTCCATACTTTCAGGAACAACAGAACACAGGGCAAGTGTCAAGTCCACAGCTGTCATTTTGAGTCATTCAGAAAGCTGAATTCCCTTCCCAGGGCAAGCAGAACTAGGGATATATGGCAGACATCCATGGGGAGAAAGAAGATGCTTGTTAGCTGACCTAGGAGACAAACCATAGACTCTACAAAGAACCCAGCAAAAGAATGACTGTGGGCTTTACCCCAAAACTGGCTTCTTTTCCCGCCTTAGAATATTGGGATCTGCAGAAATTTAAATAAAAATGGCCCCCATTGGCTCAAAAGGCCACTAGTAGGAGGTGTGGCCTTGGTGGAGTGGGTGGGGCTTTGTTGGAAGAAGCATGTCACTGGGGGTGGGCTTTCAGGTTCCAGTTGTTCAAGTCCAGTGGCTCACTCTCTTCCTGCTGCCTGCTGATCCAGATGGAGAACTCCCAGCTTCTTCTCCAGGTCCATGCCTGTCTGCCTGCTGCCAGGCTTCCTGCCGTGGCACAGAGGTCTAAACCTCTGAATTGCAAAGGATGCTTCATCCTCCCAAGACACGCGCTCAATCATGCTCATTGCTGGAATTACTCAAAACTTGGAAACAACCTAGATGTCCGTCAACAGAAGGATGGATAGAGAAAACATACATTTATGCAAAAGAGTATTATTCAACTGTTTTTTTTTTAAAGGGACATCATGAAATTCCCAGACAAATGGATAGAATTAGAAAAAGAGCCATTCTAAATGAGGTGTCCCAGACCCAGAAAGACAAATATGATCTGTACTTGCTTATAAGTGGATATTTGCTCTTAAGTCAATGATAACCAAACTACAACCCACAGAATACAATATCTCAGAGGGTATGTATAGAGTAAGGGACTAGAGGTAACAGGTAGATCTCATTAGGAAAGGGAAATAGAATATTTATGGATAGATGTGGTGGGTTCTGGAATTGATCAAGGTAAGAGGGAGGGTATGTGGGAGGGAGGAAAGGAGGGAATATGGGGAGAGACAATAAAAATCAAAGGGCATTTGGGGGTTAGTATGGAAACCTGACATAGTAGAACCTTCATATATATATGTACGCTAAAGGAAATTGCCAAATAATGGGGGTAACAGAGGCCCCACTTGCCAACTCCTGTCACCAAATGAAGTTTCCAGTACTGGGCTAGTAATTGAGTTATTGTCCAAAGGGATCCCATGGGAATCCCCAAACAACCAAAGCCCAAAGCTATTAAGACTATATAGGAGAGATGGCTCTGTGGTTAAGAGCACTGACTGCTCTTCCAGAGGACCTGGGTTCAATTCCCAGCACCCACATGGCAGCTCACAACTGTCTGAAAATGCAGTTCCACGAGTTCTGACACCTTCACATTAATGCACATAAAAAATAAAGTTAAATGAATCATTAACCTCCCCCCCCCAAAAAAAAAACAAACAAAAGACTATAGGTTGCTCTAATTTCAGAGAGGTCCTGAAATTACCTGGCATGAGAACATGGAACACACAACAAACCCGCTTAGGAGTTTATTGGCGGGCAGGGGGCGGTAAACAGGCCTGGTGAAGGTCGGTGTGCAGAGAGAGGGAGGGTGGGGGCTGAAGATGGCGCCTCCATCCTTTAAGGGCTGCCTAGCGCTTGCACACAGGGGATAGCATAGTTACCTCATAGGCAGATGATAGCTCACGCATACATACGCACAAGGGCTCATGCAGCTGCATCATACGTAAATGATGCAACCATGCTGCACGTGGGTTACCAGGGTCATTTAAGATTCCCGGGGCCATTAGGCACTTCTGCCTGAGAGCTTATCCTCACATGCATGGCCCTGGAACCCGGAAATGTCAGCCATGTTGTATGGCTGATTCATTACAGGTCCCATTGCGGAAGACAACACAACTCATTGAGCATGGAAGTGTTGAACTAGTGGCTACATAGAGCCCTCAGCCCTACCTTCCAGTGTCTTTGTTACAGGAAGGTATTCTGCCTGCTATCGAAAGAGACAATACCACTTGTAGATACCAACCCAGCCACAAACCCTTTATCTACAATGGTGTCCCATTGGAAAGATTATGCTAGTGCAATGGCACAGAGCTTGTGGGAGTAACCAATCAACAACTAATCAGACTTAAGACTTGTTCACAAGATGGAGTCCACATCCAACACTGCTTGGGTGACCAAGGACCTGAGATTAGATAGCCCAGAGACTAGGGCAAAACCAAACAATATTTGTCTCAAAAAGAAAAAAAAAAAAAGGAAGTGTGGTGATAGATTGGCTCCTGATGATAGTCTGCTAGACTCATAGATCAACCATCATCTGAGAAGCCTCCTCCTGCAGCAGATGGGAACTGGTGTAGAGGGACTCACAGGCAGGCATTGCACAGAGTGAGAGACATTGGCACACTCATTTTTAAACAGGATGTCTCCATGCCTCCATAGGAGCCTTCTGCTCAGAGTTCAGGGAATCCCAAGGTAGAGGAGGCAGAAAGAGTGTAAGAACCAGAAGGGATGGAGGACACCAGGTGAGCAAGGCCTTCTAGGCCAACGTGAGCAAAGCTCATAAGAACTCACGGAGACTGAAATCACATGCCTGGAGCCTGCATGGGTCTCCACCAGGTCCTCTGCATGTGTGTTGTGGCTTCCATTTAGTGTCTTTATGGGATTTCCGAGTAAGAGACCAAGCGGGTCTCTGACTCCTGTGCCTTCGCGTGGGCTCTGTTCTTCTGTAGGTTCTTCTGGTCCACCTTCGCGTGGGCTCTGTCCTTCTGTAGGTTCTTCTGGTCCACCTTCGATGTGCTAGTTTTAGCTTTATCTTATGGTGTTTTATTTTGTTAAATTAAAAAAATGAATGACTGAATGAATGCAAACCTAGACCCCAGGGTAAAGGTTAACACAGAACTGATGTTTGTTCTGGTTACAAATAACTGTCATTGTTTGATTAGAATTTGGGAGTTTTTTTTCTTTTTGGGTGTTACTATATTTTGTTTTCTAGATTTTTATTCTTGCAGTGGGTTTTGGGGTTGTTTAAAACAATAGCTAAAAGCTGGGTGACTAGGGAGGAGAAGAGGATCTGGATGGACTGGTGGGGAGGGGAAGAATATAATCAAAATATATCTAAATTTAAGTATAGTTTAAAATAATAAAAAAAGAACTTGAAAAAGACCAAACAGGGAAGGGTATTTGAGAAGGGATGGAGGATGGAGAATGGAGTGGGTAGTGAGAATGCAATTTAAAATTTACAAATAGTTAAAAAATAATTTTTCATGATATTTTTAAAAATAAAGAGAAACCCTCTGAAAGCCAGTCACTCCGTAAAGAATACCTACTGCTAGGTGAGTGCACTGAGGGAGTGCTCCCATCTGAAAGTGTGTGCTCTCCTTCCATTGTTGAAATCCTTGCCCCAGGTGCCGCATTAGGTGGTGGGGCCCTTAGCAGGTGGTTACAAATGGTTTTGGTGTCTTTATGAAACAGGCCCAAGGGAACAAGGAACCTTTCGACCACACAGCAAGGTTTCATGGGTGAGTCAGGAGCCAGCCATCACCCAATTCATTACCAGTTTGTGCCTCATCTTGGTATATCCCCTAGGCTGTTCACAAGCCACTGTGAGCAGGGCAGATGGTTATAATAGTCGCAATAGTCCAAGACACATAGCCATAGCAAACGCCCAGCCAGTTTAACTTCTGATACTAGCCCATGTCGACATGCCCACTCTCAGGCACACAGACTACTGTAGCCTTTATCATCCTACACTGCAATAATTAGCTCCATGTAAAAATCAGCAGCATTTTTTTTTCTTCTGGCAGTGGAAACCGTGAGAGGGGTTCTGGTGGTTGTCCCTGGCCTCAGGAGCCAGGATCGGGCTGTGCTTTGCAGCCCAGTGCTGGCAGAGCCAAGAGGCAGCGCCACCTGTGGCTGGGTGTTGCGGCACTGAAACGCACAGTCTGCACACATTCAGTCAGTTCGGGCACCAAAATGCCGACACTCTTTCCCCAGGAGATTGAAGCTAGCATAGCTAGCGTTCCTTTTACCCAAAGAATTCCATCTGCAGGCGCTTGGCAGACCAGCCTGGCTTCCCGCATCACTTGCTGTCGGGGACGAGAATTGACGGTCACTGGAAAAGCGGTTCATTAAATTCGTGATCAAGTCCAAGAAAGATGGGACCCCTCTGCCTGGCACCCTTTTGACTGCTTCAGACTCCACAGACACCCAGGAAAATCCGTTCCATCTCCGGAGTCTCACAGCTTGGGAACTCTGTCTTTAACTGTCCTTTGCCACGGTCCAATAATGCACAGTAGCAAGAATAAAGCCTGGATTTCCCCCTTACTCAAGACTTGGAATTTTTCTTGTTTGCTCAGCCTAAAGGAAGGCAAGAAGGATTTTCCCAGGGAAAGAGAAACGACTTCATGGAGCCTTAAGATAAATTGTCCCAGAGCTGAATAACATGGCTAACCACCCAGGGGAACATTCCATCAGCCCCTGATCACTGAGTTGGGAAGGAAGGTGTCTGTGAAAGAACACAGACAGCTGTGGTCTGCAAACCTCCAGGGAAGGCTGGGGTTGGGGGAAAGGCAGTTGGGGGAGGGGGGAGCAAAGCCCATTCCTGTCTTTGTGTTTTCCCTTGAAAGGGGTGACAGAAGCCTGGAGCTCAGCTTCCCACTGAAGTTTCTGCAAGGCCAGAAGGCCATTGGCACAACAGGAGAGCTCTTTCTCCAGTCATAAGGAATGGCTTGGATGGGAGCTTGAACAGCTTCCTTGGTTTAGTGTTAGGAGGCTAAACACAAAGCCGTACTGACTTCTTTCTGAGGACTAGGGCAATCGGAACTAGGGCAATTGGGCTGCTGGGTGGGTATCTGTTCTGAAGGCTCATATGAAGGTTTGTTATGTGGGGGTGTGGGGGTTTAGATAAGGAAACCCTGTGGTGTGAGGGCGCTGTTGTCAGTATGCAGCACTTCCCCTGTGTGAAAGCAGCGGGCTGTGGGTGTGACCGAAAACAAGAACAGCACACTGAGACACAAAGAAACGGACACAGAAACAGACAGACACGGCACAGTTAATCAAATTTTACTTTCAACATTTTAGATTGCTTTCTATTTTACATGTATGGGTGGTTTGCTTGCATGTATGTATGTGTATAATATGAACGCAGTGCCAGAGGAGGCCAGAGGAGGGAGCTGGATCCCTGGCACTGGAGTTACAGATGACTGATCTGCCCTGTGGGTGCTGAGAACTGAACTTTGGTCCTCTGCCAGAGCAGTCAGTGCCACTAAACCCTGAGCCATTTCTTCAGCCCCAGTTGTTAAATTTTTAATGAATTCTGGTTAAAATGCTGACATCACCAATGAAAGCACAGAAAACACACAATACCTGATGAATTTCAGTAGAGCTGGAACCCACAGCAAGACAGGCACAGAAATGTTTGTCATGAAAATATAACAACAGAGATGAGGAACCCCTCTGAAGGTTGAACAGGAGACTTGATTCAGATAGGAGGAGAACCAGTGACCATGGTAGACATTCTGTGGCTGCCGTTTCAACAGAAGCCAGCTGGTAAAATTCATTCAGGGGAAAAGAACTTCAGAGTTGTGTAACAGCATCAAATGAAACAGGTAGGAGATATATTTGAAGACACAGTGGCTGAGAGCTTTCCAAAGTTAATGACAGGAACTATTGTTTAGGAAGCTCAGGAAACTAGAAGGCTACATACCAAAGCTGGCCAAAGAGAGAAATTGCTTTATAGCATATTCAAAATTCTGGGAGCAAAGATGGAAATTTAGAAGGGCAATAAGAGAAGACAGACACACAGAGGAATCAAGAATTCCAGAACATTCTGCTTTAAAAAAAATGACACAAGCAATAGAGCAATCAGTGGCTGAAACACCTGTTAGAAAAGGATCCTGTACCTGGAAGAATTACCTTTCATGAACCAAGGAGAAATGGCGATTTTAGGCAAACACACAGAGAGAGAGGAAAGTGTGAAGCCTTTGGTGCTCTGCGAACCCCAACAACTAACCTTAGACTCACCCCGTATTCAGACTAGGTTAATATCACTGCAGGAAGGGTCTATCAGCAAGAGAAGCTATGAAAATGGTACAGCATCTTCCCACAAACTCAGATCTGCAGACAGAAGGAAGAAGGCTGGAAGGGTGGCAAACGTAAGCACGGTAAAGACATAAAATACCTAACTCTGCTTAGATTATCTGTCTAAAAGCCACAGAAAGGTGTGCTTATATCCCATGTAAAAAGTAAAATGCACGTAACATTAGCAAAAGGCCAAGGATGGTGGTACTGGGTACATACAGGTAAAGGACCTTGAAATACTTTTGGGGAAATGTTGCTTGGTACAAAATCTGATTAATTCAAGATGTATACTGGAAAAACTAGGACAACCAATAACTAGATAAGCAACATAATACATTGATAGTGAAGGTGAAATAAGAAAAAATAACATGGGCTGACCTAAAGAAACATACAGAGGGAAAAAGAAAACATCAAAATTAAAATATAAACTGGGCATGGTTGGCACACACCTTTAATCCCAGACTCCAGAGGCAGAGGCAGATGGATCTCTGAGTTCTAGGTTGTGCTTGAACAAATAAAGATTTGGAGAATATGGGAGATTTTCCTCCAAATGAGTGTAAATCCGTGAGTGGAGCTCGCGGCAGAGAGAAATAAGGGGACGCTGGGTATAACAGACCATATTGGTAAGTGATTGACAATATATAAAATGCCCAGGACGTTAATGTTAAACAGGGAAAATCTCTTCTAAAACGAATTCTGAACTACTTCAGTATCTAACAGGAGGGGTTGATTGAGCCCCTGCTATGTGTGCAGGGGATGGAATTAGAGGCAAAACACAAAAGGGAAAAATGACATGTGTTTTCCTCAGTAAACGGGAAGAGGCAAGGAGCTAAAGGTAGCGAGAATATAGATATGATTTGATTTACGAACACAGCTGGGCGGAGGAATTTAAATTTAGTAATAATGTGCAATTAAAGGGTGAAAACAAAAAGTTGCATGCTTGAAAGGCAGAGAAAATTAGAAAACGGGGAGAATAAGAATAGAAATGGCAATAATGGTACAGCAAATGCAGAAGCAAGTGAAGAAAACGTCACTGCCATTGTGGGGCTAAGCAAGTTCTAGCGTCAAAGACACAGCTTGCAAAATCAGACTGAAGGTAGGAGAGATGGCTCGGTGGTTAGAACCCTGGATGCTCTGGCAAAGGACCCAGGTTCCCAGCAACCTCAGCGTGGCTCACATCCGTCTGCAACTCCAGTTCCAGGAGATCCAGTGCCCTCTTCTGGTCTCTGAGGTTACCAAGCATGCACATGGTCACATTCATTGTGCAGACAAAGCATCCCCCAACACACAAAATTTATAAGGAAAAAGTAAAAAAAACCAGACTGGAGGTTAAGACTGGAGAGTGCTTGTAGCAGGGGAGAGCACTGAGTAGAGACAAAGAGAAAAGAAACAGATGAACGCTATGTAATAGCAATTTAAGTGCCATTCGGTTTGAATGCCAGTTTTTAAAAAGAACCGAGTTTTTAAAAAGGACAGTGTAGCGAGGAAGTTAGTCAGCAGCAGCACTTTGCATAATTCCAGGGTCAAAAATAAGGCAGAGGGGGCTGGAGAGGGGGCTCAGCGGTTAAAAGCATTGGCTGTTCTTCCAGAGGACCCGGATGGAGTTCCCGGCACCCACAAGGCAGCTAACAATCATCTGTTAAGCCTAGTTCCAGGAGTCACGTCAGGGACCCTTGTCCTAAAGATGATAGCAGGGACCATTGTCCTAAGGATGTTTGCAGAAAGCCCCACTACCTCGAGAGCTGTTTGCTGAAGGAATCTGCCTCACATCACAACTATCTTGATAGCAGGGCCCATTGTCCTAAGAATGTTTGCAAAGAGCCCCCATATCCCAATCACCTTGAGAGCTGTTTGACCAGGTGTGCTGACTAGTGACTTTTGCTACCCCAGCAAAATCCCCCACCCCAACCCAAATTCCTCATCCAAGGGCTATATAAGCCACAACCATTACGCTAATAAACTGAGACTTTGACAATAGATCTTGCTTGGTCTCCTACCTCTCTCTCGCCCATATTCTTTCAGGTAGCGCCTCTTCAGACCCTGGAATAACTGCACCTGCTGGACGGGTACAGGGGCAGACGCCCTCTTCTGGCCTTCCCGAGTACTGCTTGTATGTGGAGTTTGTATATTCCTGCAGGTAAAACACCCATGAACGTAAACTATAAAAATGAATCATTTATCTATTTATTTTCGAGACAGGGTTTCTCTATGTAATAGTTCTGGCTGTCCCAGAACTCACACTGTAGACCAGGTTGATCTTGAATTCACAGAGATCCATCTGCCTCTGCGTCCCAAGTGCTGAGGGCTGGGATTAAGGGTGTGTGCCACCATCACCAGGCCAAATATTTTTTTTATAAATGAAAATAAATCCCCAAAATGCAGGGAGAGATTGACAAGGTCATGTTTATTATCTCATGTCTTTAACATTTTTTTCAGAACTTGACAGTTCAAACTATAGTAAGGCAACAGTAAGAAGGACTTCAGCAGTACATAAATGAATTTTTCTCATAAATTGTTATAAAGTATAATCATATTCTGGATTAAAACATACAGGGAAACTTTGAAGAAGTCCCCAAAGTGGAGATTTTTTTTTTACAGCATCCAAAACAAAGATCAACATTGGAAACATCTTTAAAATATTTTCATTACTGGGAAGTTGAAACTTCTCTGGAGAGGAACTCAAAAATTGAAACCAAAAATGATAGAAATAAATAAATAAAAAGAAGAAAGCATGTGCCATCAAAATTCTACGAGACACAGCTAAGGCTGTGTGCGGGACATCATTTGTAACGTTAGCTGATTTCACTTAGAACCGGAACACAGCAGCACATACATTTCCACACTACCACAATCTATTTGGAGCAATTTCACCCATTTGTCCTTGACCATAGAAAGCGACCGGGCTGAGGTGGGCTGGGCTGAGGCGGGCGCGGTCCGTTGATCTCAGGGTCTCTTGGCTCGGCTCCGTTTCCCTTTCCCGTTTTTCTCCTCACCAATGTCACAGTGAGAATGGATGAAGCGATCGAGAATTTGTCTGTCTGCCAAGGAAGAAAAGCAGAGGTTTCCGACTTCAATATGAAGCAGCAAGATCTTAGGAGGAAGCAAGCGTCTGGTAGGAGTATGCTATGTTTGCACAAGTTTGCTATGAGAAAATAATTGGAGGGTACTGCGTCTGGTGTAGAGCGCCCCGGGGCCCTACTTGTTCTGAGCATCCCGGAAAGGGTGTGGGTTTGCGAAGAAACAGAACCCAGTACGGTTCTGTGCCAGCAAGCGCCATTTAACCCCCTTCTTTGTCCCTCATCCCTTAATGGCGATCACATGCCTACCTCACACAGTAGGAAGGGCTAAGCACACTACGGGCGATGTCACATAATAAATTAATGTGTCATTAATTAATTAGCAGCCGTATATACCTTTATAGGGTGCACAGTAGTAAACGGTGGTGAAGAAAATGGTAGACTTTTGGTGGCCTTTGCTGTCCTTGAGTCGTACCTGTCTGCCTTTGGGAAGCCCTGGGCAGTGATGTGGTCTTGTCTGATTCTGAACATCTGTAACTCCCCAGTCTTGATTCCAGCATTCACATAGGGTGGAACTATAAAACTCCCCATTCCCAGAAGGGTCATCTGCCACTCATCCTCTTCCTCAGTGTCACGATGCCAGCTGAGACCAGTAGCTGAAAGCTCCGTGTGTGTGTGTGTGTGTGTGTGTGTGTGTGTGTGTGTGTGTGTGTGTCTGTGGGTGTGTGCATGAATGCGCGCACACACATGTAGTAAGAAAAAAATAACCTCTCTATCAAACATAACTAACCCACCAAGGACCAATCTATCACACATTTCTCACACCTTGCAAACTTTTATGCAAAGGAATTCAAAATTTTTAACTCCCCTACCCGGTAAAACTTTGTTCGTGGAAAGCCCTGGCACATTCCCAGATTTGACGGCTGGGGCCTCACTCCTCCTTCCCTTTCTTTCATGCCGCTTTCCAATCAAAAGTAGACTATGAGGTCAAACCACAGTCAGGGAGGAGGCATCAAGTTCTCTTGCTTTAGAGACGGAAGACAGAGGCCACCTTGGTCCTGGGTGCCTGCTAGCCCAGTCTGGGTCACAGCCTACATTTTTATTTATTATTATTATTATTTACAAAAATGAATTGCCTTGCCAGGTTACTTTCATTTTCTCTTGTGTCTCTTTGTGTGATACCAACAAGGTTAGTCTTTTCCCACTGTGTGGAAATGTGGCCTGTGTTCTGTCCAGTCATAGCTGCCTTTGTTTGTGAGCTATTCCTGCTCTATCCCCCGCTCCCTTGGCCAAAGTACTTTTCCACTCAGCTGTGCCTCCCGTGGAATGAAATGTGCTGACCTTACGTGCAATGTTTGCCAGTTGACGTCTGACCGCTGATGAGCCACACCCGTTTGTTTCCACCACCCAGGAAGTCCTTCCCGATGCTCCCAGGCAATACTGTTGACCCTAAGACAGCCTCTGGTTCCATTTCTTTCACCATGAATGAGATTTGCCTGCCGTGGACTTTCAGATAAACGGAATCCTACAGGAGCGCCTGTTTAGCGTTTGGATTTTGTCTTGGCTCAGCGTCTTGTGAGCGTGCACATTTTGTCTTTTGTATCAGGAACGTGCTCCCTTTTATTGCCAAGTTGTTAAAGTATCACACCTCATCCATTCTTTCTGTTGCTGGAGGTGGGGACTATTTCCAGTTCTGGGATATCGAGGATGAAACTGTTGTGTTTTTATGCAAGTCCTTTTGTAGCTGTCCGCCTCCTTTTCCCTCAGGCCAATACCCAGAAGTGGAATTTCTAAGCCAGGACGTAGGCATATGTTTAACTCTGTAAGATGCCATGGATCATTCCCCAGAGTGATCCCACTACTGGATACTCCCCTGCATGTGGGAATTCTGGGTGCTCTGTGTTACCCCCAACTGCTGCCACCCAATCTGTTCTCTTTTCAGCTTGTCTGTAGTTTTGAAGTTTATATTGAAGTATAGAAGGAACAGAGTGCCCTTCTTATAATAAAGACATGCATAGAGCGTAAATCAAAATGGGCACATATTAGCCAAAATAAGATGGCTGGCCCAGTGTCCATCAAACTTAATGTCAGTCAGGCTGCTCAAAGGCCAACTGGGCTTTGGCTGTTGTGTTTGCGGTAGTTGATGTTGATTGAAACTTGACTGCATTCAGCCATGCCTAAGGCACAGCTGTGGGTTTGTTGGGGCACTTCCAGAGAAGATCAACTCATGGATGGGTGAGCAGGGGAGGCTGCCCACAATGTGGGTGGTATCTTCCAGAGGATGGCTTGGATGAAAAGAGTCTAGAAGAAGAAGCAGCCAGCAGGTGTTGATAAATGCCTCTTCCTGGGCCAGTGTGTCTGTCTGTCTTGCTGCTGGCATCCTGTGCTGGCTTCCTTGTCCTTCCAGCATAGACTCAAGACTCTCCAGAGAATGTTTGGACTTAATGCGGCTTCCTATTGGGAGTGCTGATCGGGTACTTCCTGCATTGGATGGTCATCTTGTTCTCTTTATCTCCAGGTGGCCATGGTTGGACCACCCAGCCCCTGCCCTATATGGCCAGCTAATGAGTCCCCTTTTATACAAATATCCTACTGATTCTGTTGTGGACCCAGGGCTAACAGCACCTCACACAGCCTTTCCTAGAACCAACAATTTCTTTAATGGTGATAAATGTCACTATGCCTATACCTCTGTCTTCCACACCAGAAGGTGGATTCCCTGCTAGGATGGATTTGTTTTTATTTATCTTTGGATTAAGTTAGCGTGATAGACATGCAACCAATGACATTTGTTAAATGAGTGAATACATGTATTCTTTTAAAAATTATATTTATGGGTATTTTGTCTGCATGTCTGTCTGTCTGTGTACCATAGGCTTGCCGTACCCATAGAGGTCAGAATAGGATGTCAGATTCCCTGGATCTGGAGTTGTTGATGGTTATGGGCTGCCAGATAGATGCTGGGAATTTAACCCGGATCCTCCAAGAGCAGCCAATGCTCTCAACCACTGAGCCATCTTTCCAGTCCCAATCCGTGCAATTCTGAATTCTGAATTACGGGCTTGAGAGAAACACCTTACAAATTGTATGTCGGTGGAAAAAATGGGGAGGGAGTCATAGCTTAAAAAGATATCAAGAAAAATAGCTTTCAGATAATTTTATCACTCAAGTGGGAAGACAGTGGGCAGATGACAGGGTTTTACCAGCAGATAACATATGCAGGAACAGCTAGCTTCCAACTTGTCAGAATCAAACTCAGGGAATAAAATAACTCAGAACCTAGACCGTCCACTAACGAACACAGTCCGAGCTTCTCAAGTTAGAAACAAACTCAATATGGGCTTCAACGTCCCCCTTCCAAAATGCTCTGAACTCAAAATGGTTCTGATTTTCTTGGATTTGGGAATATGGGCATATACATGGTGATGTCCCTGGGAGATTGGCTCCAAGTCTAAACACAAAAATTGCTTCTGTTTCCTATACGTCTTGCAGATACAAGCCTGGGAGTATCGTGTGCAACATTTTTAGTGTGTCTGTGCTTTAATGGTGACACGTGGTGTGAAGTGAGGTGTGGGAATTTTATCCCCTGTGGGCCCATGGGTACTCACAGGGGTCCAGCTTTCTCGGGAGAGATGTTTGTACTAAACAGCAGCCTGCCTTCAGTGTCTTACTCTTCCTCCCCAGTTCTGCTCTTTTCTTTACCCTTGCTCAGCTTGTCTGCTCTTCACCCAGCCTGGGATATCACTTGGGGGGAAGACTAGTGTCTCCCCCTCCCACACCTCTCTCTGTCTCTTTCTCTCTCTCTCTGTCCTTCTCTGTGGGTGTCTCTGTCTCTCTCCCTCTCTCCTTCCTTCTCTTTCTCTTTCCATCAAAATACCACTGCCGTGGTCTCCTAGTCCACAAAAGCTTACTACATAACTTAAGCTGAGCCACTAATAAGTGAGCCTATGACATCTCAGGTCCCTCCATCCTGACATCCAGCTGAGCCTCGCTGTGAAGGCGCTGCTGGGATGGCCACAGCTGGCAGGCCTTGCCATCGTCCCTGGCACTAGGAGATGACAAGAGGTTCGCTGCCCTTTAACAGCTGCAATAGAGTTGGGACAGGGTGGCTTCTCCAGCAGCCCAGGGCATCGTGGCACAGTTCTGGGATCTGCCCCCAGTGCCGCCCTGGACAACCAAGAAGAAACAAAAGCCTAACTTGTCCCAAAGCTAACCTGGCTGGTGACCGGATGGACAAATGTCGCTGACTGTTTAACAGCACATAGCAGAGGAGCCTCCCCCAACCCCCACTCCTGCACCTCCACTCACTCCTAGAGAACAAGGCCACACAAGTCTCAGCTTGCACACATACAGAGAGCGGGAAACCAGGTGTCTGGCCTTTGTGATGGTCGCATCTGGTGTGGCCGGTCCCTGATCCCTGGGCAGATGTCAGCACCTTCTAAAGGAAGCAGAATCCCCCTTTCTGTGGGCCCAAGGGATGTGGTTCTTAAAGGTAAAGCGAGCTTTCTGTAAATGCAGAGGGTGGTTTTACACCATTTGCAGGGAAACTCAGAGCAGGCAGGCAGCCTGGCTTTGCTGGTGGACTCCGCTGTGTCTTCAGGGACTTGCTCAGCAGGTTTCCAGAAGGCTCTCAGTCCCTTCTGAAGAGACAGTCTGGCCTTGAGGTGTTGAGAGGAATGAGGCTTCCAGAAGAAAACACACTTCTGCTTCCATAGGAGGCAAAGCAGCTGCTTAACCTATTTCCCTGACACCCAGCAGCCAGCCAGGCACTTGTTTCTTCTTATGCGTGTGTGTGTGTGTGTGTGTGTGTGTGTGTGTGTGTGTGTGTACACTCCATCCTTAAAAGCATCTGAAAGGCTAGAGCAATGGTTCCGTGGGTAAAACCACTTATTTGCAAGCCTAAGGACCTGAGTTTGAGGTCCTATTGTACACATAAAAAGAGCCACCCATGGTTTCAAGTGCCTGTAATCCCAGCACTGGGAAGCAAGGATAAATGGCTCCCAATGAGCTTGCTGGTCAGTCAACCCATCCTGTGAGCTTCTGATTCAAGAGGGAAAGAGCAAGATGGGAAGCAAAGGAGGAAGCCTCCCAAGGCTTCCTCAGGCTTCTATGTATGCACACACCGTAGGGTTTCAGTCTTGTTTAGAGCAGGAGGTCTTGGTGCTGGGGGTAGTCTTTGCCAGGGGAGGGGTGAAGGGCTGGGACTGAAGAGGAGTGGTGATTAGGGATTGAGGGGACCCAGAGAGGTGTGAGGAGGAAGGGTGCCACCGAAGAGTGAGCAACTGGGAGCCATCTGCAGCAAAAGCGTGATTACAGAAAAGGAAGAAGCTGGTGGCTCTGCATTGCCTTGTGCACAAAGTTGGGTGTAGGAGGTATCTTAGGAATGTGAAAATATTAGATCCTCTTCCTATGTTTCTTTTACTTCCTTCTTGAAACTAGTGTGTTTTCTGGTGGACACAGCACATCTGTGGCATAAAAACTTATACCTTGGCCTGGAGGGATGGCTCAGTAGTTAAAGGCTAGGCTCACAACCAAAAATACAAGAGTTCGGTTCCCAGCACCCATGGCTGCCCCTCCAGGTACTAAAAAAACAAACGGGGGGAACCCCCCCAAAAAAGGAAAAAAATTTTTTTTTCTTTTTATTATTTTTTTCTTTTTTTGGTTTTTTTTTTTTTTTTTTTTTTTTTTTTTTTTTTTTTTTTTTTTTTTCATGGCTGCTGACAGCAGCTCTGGGAAGGATTGATTCCTGTCCTGAAACTTCTTTGTTCCCTTGTTGACATGTTATACTTTCCCAGAGCTGGTCTGATAAGCTTGCTACATGGACTAACTCCACCCCGTCCTGAGATGGCATTTGCTATTTGGGAGTGTGAAATATGAATATTCTGTGTATAAATAGCCTGTCAATAAACAAGTTCAGCCAAACAGGAAGTCAAACATAAACAAAATACAAGGAAACTGTGAGACAGCACAAAAGCCAACTGGAGGAAAGGGAAGTTACACCAGTGCACGCGCGCGACTCAAGCACCTGTGAGGTGGGAACAGACACGTTAGACATGACTCTGTGTGAGCTGTGGACTCTAGTGAGCCTCTTAGGAAAAGTTTTCAATGATCAAGGTTTGCATGGCACTGTGGATTTCCTTTTTCAAAAAGTAGTTGTGGTGGTTTAAAAGAAAATGGCCTCCATAGGCCCTCAAGGAGTGGCACTATTAGGAGGTGTGGCCTTGCTGGAGTAGGTGTGGCCTTGTTTGAGGAAGTCTGTCTCTAAGGAAAGACTTTGAGGTTTCATATGCTCAAGCCAGGCCCAGGGTAGCTCAGTGTCTCTTCCCACTGCCTGAGGATTCAGATGTAGAACTCTGAGATCCCCTTCAGGAACCAGCCCGCCTGCATGCTGCCTTGCTTCCCACCATGATGATAAAGGACTAAATTTCTAAACTTTAAATGTTTTCCTTTATAAGAGTTGCTGTGGTCATGGTGTCTCTCCACAGCAATAAAACACTAAGACAGTAGTCTTTGTCTTTTTGTTTGTTTGATTGGTTGGTTTTTATATTCAATTCCAGTGGTTAAAATGGAACAGTTCATCAGGCATGGGAATAGCATGCTAAGGAAGGCATTCACTATGCTTGGTAAACGGAAGAAGCGGTGACTTGAGGCCTCTTACCTTTGTAGGAAACACTTTGCAGATACTTGTGGATTTGGGAGGGGGAGAATGAGTCTAAGATCATCAAGAAGTCCAGGTAGTCTTTCCCATAGTCACTCTCGTACGTGGTCTGATTCTTCGTGCGTTCCTGGTTCCGCATGTAGCTACGCAGTACAGAGGGCACTACAGGGACACAGGGCAGCAGCACAGGCTGTCAATAAGCCAAAATGCCTGTCCTTGTCTGAACACATCCTCACACCCGAGCCCAGCCTGGAACCTACTCAGCATCCTTACCGAATGCCACCTAGTCATCCTACCAATGACCAGGGCTGTACTGAGTGGCTGTGGTTGGTGATGCTGGATGCAGAGGAATGGGAGACATGGCCCAAAGGTTGAGTGTGAGCACCGTGTCCAGAAACTCAGCTCTTCAAGAGTTCTGCTTTCAACACTGTGTGTAATGTTTACCACTTACTTGCTTAATGCTAAACAGACTCTGTAAATGTCTCATTTTCTCTCAGGACCTCTCCCCGCATCCTCAGAGGGGCACACAATGAGACCCATTTCCAGGGACCTGGAAAGCTTTAGAATGAGCACTTTGGAAGGAGAGTGACATTTACAGCAAGCATGTGCTGTCCATTCAGAGGGGCCAGTCAGTCAGAGGAGCAAGAAACTCCAGCCACTCACATTTGATATAAATTATGATGAGATTAATCTGGATTCTGAGATTTGTGGAGTTATAATTTTCAATGATGGAGATATGATGTTTTAATAAGTGATTTTTTAAAATAAGTGGCCCAACTTTTGTAAAACAAAAACACCCTAAATACTGTCCCCAGTCCCAGGCATTCCCTTCTAAAGGAATAAATGTGAGGAACAGGCTGGATGAGAGACCTCAGCCCTCCCCCAGGAGAAGAGTGCCAGGGTCTGAAAACTGAGAAAGCACTCTGACGTCCCTCCCTCCCGTGGTTCTCAGGGTTCCTTCATCCTGTGGCTTCACAGGGTGGAAAATTTGTACTCCTTAACCTCCTGGGAAGAAACAGAATCAGCAGCTACCAGCTTAGGAAGGACTCTCCCAACTGTGAGAAGATTCAGGCAGATGGGATGTCAGATAACGAGGGTGCCACCTTGGAGTGTGGAGCACTGCCCTGGGTGTACACGCAGGGACAGGGTCAGCCCTTAGCAAAGGTGGGTCACCCCTCATTGTTACCACTTGGAATTCACTCATGACTCAAAGCTTTAGACTAGGAGTCTGTGTTCCCCTTCCATCATGTAGGTCTGGAGTCTTGAACTTAGGTCATCAGCTTGGCTACAAGCACCTTCATCGGCAAGGCCATCTCACCAACTCACTGAGAGATTTTCTTAATGAGTGGCTTAGCGGGTGCCTGGTGATAAAACTCATGAGATATTCCTATCAAAAGTGATAGGGATCCGGATCGTGACAGATCGCTGGGACGGGATGGGAACTAATTCTGCGAATGCTTACGGAACACGCCACAAGCAAAGGCTGAGTGATTGATGGATTGACGACTCTAAAGGGATTCCCTCTCAGCTCGGTCACTTTAGGGAATCTTCCGACTCCAACCACTGCTCCACCCAGGCAGAGTGGCACAACTCAACTTAAGGCACAAGCTGGCAGTCTTCTGAGATTCACAGTTCCCTTGCCATGAGACTGGGTGCTACAGTGGCACAGATTCCGTGTGTGGCCATTATCAAAACTGGCTGCCAGGGCCTTCAGCAACATCGGCATTGGAGCAGGGAACTGGTAAGGCCAAGCTACAGGCTGCTTAAAAAAAAAAAAAAAAAAGACATCTGCTGGGCAAACTTTTCCCAGGCTCAGGCTTTGGTAGGACCCAGAGCTGGGAACCTGAACATGGAGAAGCAGTAGTGAGGGACCAGGCACAGTGGGTCAGACTAAGAAGAGGCCAATCACAATGCATGTACAATCTGAACACTGGTTACCAGAGCAGACCAAAAATTCCAGATGCAGGGGCTGGAGAGACCGCTCAGTGGTTAAGAACTGAGCTCTTGCAGAGGACCTGGGTTCAATCTCCAGGACCCCCATGGTGCCTCACAACCGTCTGCAACTCCAGCGCCAGGGGGTCCGATGCCCTCTATCGGTCTCCCTAGGCACAAATGAGCTGCACAGACACACGCAGGTAAAACAGCCATGCATATTTTTTTTTTAAGTTCCAGCTCCTCCTTCCCTCACACCCTGCACTTTGGTCTCCTTGCTAGTGGACAACATGAGAGACAGACCCCATTCCTCTACTTGTCAGTTAATAACAATAAAACTTTTTTTTCCCAGAAGTCAGCACCATAGTGTTGGCATCTATGTCAGGTCGGGAGCCCTAGGGGGTCACTTTGCATTTGTAATCCCTAAAGCCTTCCTTACCTAGACCCTGGGAAGCCACAGGCAGGCTTGAGTAGCATCCATATTTGAAACTAAAATCCTGCAGTTCAGGAATCTTAGCTGGAATTTGGTAATGGTGCCGGAATTCGGTGTCCAGAGGTCGGGGAAGGAGTTCTTTCCAGTCCCGGGACATGGGAAAAGATTTCATGGTCTTCTTAGCTGGGGTGAGACGGGAAGACAATGATTACCCCTTGTCAATGTCTGAGTGGCTTGTCACTGCACCGCTTCAACCAGCAGCTTCCAATGCATACCATTAAACTGACTCTCCTCGAGTTTAGAGGATTAGTCTGTGTACTCTATGACTGGTTCAATTGAGAAACTATTTCTACTCTAGAACATGGAGTATATGTTCAACTGGCCATGGTAGGTTTGTTCTGTTTTTTGTTTTGTTTTGTTTTATTTTTACTCTTTGTTCTTTTGGAGGCCTGCCACCCAGCTCCCAAATAAACATATTGAGTCTTTCTCTTACTTATGAGTATCCAGTCTTAGCTTGGCTTGTTTCTGGCCAGCTTTTCTTAACTTCAGTTATCCCACCTCGCTTTTGCCTCTGGGTTTTTACCTTTCTCTACACCTTTCTTTACTTCTTACCCTGTGGCTTGCTGTGTAGATGGGTGACTGGCCCCCAGAGTCCTCCTCCCTGTCTCTTTTCACTCCTAGATCTCTCTCTCCCCAGATTTCTCTTCCTATTTATTCTGTCTGCCCAACAGCCCCACTTATCCTTTCTCCTGCCTAGCTATTGGCTGTTCAGCTCTTTATTAGACCAATCAGGTGTTTTAGACAGACAACATAACGCAGTTTCACAGAGTTAAACAAACACAACATAAAAGAATGTAACATATCTTTGCATCATTAAACAAATGTTACACAGCATAAACAAATGTAACACATCTTCAAGTAATATTCATTCCACAACAGACCGTAAGTCGTTTTTGAACAGTTAGATACTCATGGCCATGAGGAGTCCTTAGGAACATGCTGCTGGGCACAGAAACCAGCAGTGACTCTGCTGGGGTCTTCCTAGGCCTTTTCAAGTCAAACCAGAGAGAGAGGCTTGGGGTAAGACCAGAGTTGCTGGGTGAAGCAGGATTCTCAATTAAATCTGAATGCCATAGTGTAACGGTGATCTTATCTGTTTTCATGCTGACTGTCCTACGTTCAATCCCCAATAGAACCATGATGAAAAGGGTTTCTTGGCCAGATGTGAGGCCAGCCTGGTCTATGCGGTGAGTTATAGGCTTGCTAGCCAGGGTTTCATAGTGCAGTCTTGTCTCAAAATCAAACTAAGACTCTGCAGAAAGGCACAACCTAAAGGTAAAAATAGAAGACTATACAAGATCATTAGCTCCAGAAACATGAACTGTAACAAGGGGAATTGGCTTTGCGGTCTTCACATGAGGCTTTCATTCTTCAAAGCTGAGTTCTCCGAGCCTGAACGTGAAAACAGCCACTTTTCAGTGCTTCGCCTCTTCATCTGCTTTAATTCCTCAAGGAACACTCAAAACCACAGCACGGCTCTCTGCTTCAGAAGCGTAAAGTGTTAAAGACGTGAACTCAATATAATAGCATTATGTGGTAGATCCTGTAAAAGTTGTTACAATGGAAACACGCATACACACACAAGAGCAAGAGAGACAGAGAGGGAGAGAGAAGGAGAGAGACAGAGAAAGAGGAGAGATCTCCAAGGCCTAGACTTAGATGGAAGGTCAAACGTGGAACATTGTGGAGGACGGAAGTAGCATTGTAGACAGAAGGCAGCATCAGGGGCCTGAGGAATCTGTGGAGTGGGCAGCTGGGGAGAACAACGGAGAGGGGGCAAGGACCAGATGACATAAATCATGTCAATTGAGGCATTTAGTTTTCGTCTTGAGGTCAACAAGAGTTCACAGAAAGTTGTAAGTCAGAGCTGACGTCAGCTTGCACATCAAAGAACCCACTGTGACATACCAAGGAAGAGAGCTGGATAAGAAGCCATCCAAAGAGTTCTTCCTGTTCTTGCAGAAGACCCAAGTTGGTTCTTAGCATCATGCCAGCTGACTCAAACCACCTGTAACGCCAGCTTTGGGGGATCCAACATCTCCAGCCTCTAAGGACACCAAGACCCTCAGCAGATCTAGTTCCTGTATCTGCGACCTACTAGCCTCCAGCGCCATGAACCAAACTACATTTTATAAATTCCTAGTCAGTCATCAGATCTGTGACCCAATCCATAGTGGCAACAATTTGCAGAGAATGAATTTATTTAGAGGTCACAGTTTCAGGGATTTTTGTTTATGGTCAAGCTGGCTCCCTTGTTGCCGGGCCTTGGTGAGCGAGAGCATCATGGTGGAGAGGATATGATGGAGCCAAGATTCTCATCACACAACAGCCAGGAAACACAGAGAGATGGAGAAGGGTCTAGACAAGATCTGCCTTCAAAGGTCCATTCCCATCAACCCTACTTCCTCTAGAGAAGCTCCTACCTCCTAAGTTTCAATTGTCTCTTAAAATAGTGCCACCTGCTGGGGACCAAGCCTTCAACACATGAGCTGTGTAGATGCTCACATTCTACAGTGCCCAGACAGCAGTGTTCTGCTACAGGAGAAAACACAGACATTCCCCTTTGTAGGAAAAGGAATTAATACAAAAATCACTTTATGGTAACGAGCTCGTAGGTAAAACCATCACACCGATGGGTTGATGTAGTGACTCAATGACTTGTCCAGTCTCAAACACTTGATTCTTTCAGAGCTGTGTGCTTAGGACTCAGAGGAGGACGGGTGGGACGATGGTGGGGAGGAGAGGCTAAAGACTGCTCGTCAGCCAAGAAGACCCCAACGCCCCCCTCCCCAGCCTCAGTCTAGCCCAGCAGTCACGTGCTTAGCTTCCTAGTTCTACAAGCACCCTCTTCTAAACACGATCACCCCGTCACTCATTTAAACCAGCTGCCAACTGGGAAGGCACCTCTGGGTGTGACTCTCCACAACTAATTCCGGATCACCCTCTGGGAATGGGAAGGGGCGTCTGTTTTTCTTTTTCCCTTTTCCCTCCCTTCTTTCTTCTTCTCTCCTCTTTCCCCTGTTTCTCTTCTCTTTTCATTTCTCCTTGTTTTGTGTTTTGAGACAGGGTCTTGTTATACATGTCAAGCTGAACTTCCAAGTTCTCTTGCCTTGGCCTCCAAAGATGTGGTTATAGACATTCACCACCATCCCTGACTAGTGGGAGTCTTTTCCAGACTCTCCATTCCATTGGCATAGACATTTGTAGCAATGCACATTTATCTGCTTGTTTGCTTTTCAGTGCTAAGGATCAAAACTGCTACCACTGAGCCATGCTCCAGCCTCCCCACCCCCATGCTTCTTACAATGTGTACCTTGTTGGTAAAATTTCTTGCCTCGCACTAGCTTGGGAGTTCCTGTAAGAGAAAGACTACCTCCGTGCCATTTGCCACCACTGTGGCAGTACCCAGGCCCATGCCCAGGGAAAGAGGGAGCACCTGCTTACCTTGAGTCACATCCACGAAGTCCCTCTTGGTATGGGAAACAAACTGATTTGCTATCGCCTCCCGGACTTTTTCCATGGATGGAGGGACTATCCAGGGGAGGGTGTGGATTGGTTTCCCTTTGGGGAGGGTCCACTGAAAGAATTCCTGTCAATCAATGCGAGCATGGTTTTAGTAAGAATCCAGGAAGGCTCGCCTCATTGAGTCGAGAATACCCGTGAGTGTTTGTGAGTCCGTAGTCTTTGGAAGCCTTATAACCAGCAGCCACGCTGCGGCTGCCTGTACAGAGAGTGTGGCAAGAGGGCCTGGCAGTTTCGAGCCATAGCACAAGTCCTGGCTAGGCTACAAATAGTTGACCAAAGCAATTAAAGGAAGGACGGGTTTCTTTAGGCCATGGTTTGAAGGTTATAATTCACTGTGGTGGAGAATGCAAGATTGAGAGGCGGCTGGTCCTGTTGCATCCTTAGTTGGGATGTATAGGCAGATAAATGTCTGAGCTCAGCTAGCTTCCTCCCTGCCCCTTTTTATTCATTACAGGACCAGAGCCACCAGGGATGACAACCGCTCGTATTCAGGGTGTATCTCTCCTCGGTTAAATCTCTCTGAAAACTCCAAGACACAAAGGGCAGGATGTCTCTGATGGGATTCTAAATCCAGTCAAGTTAACAATGAAGATTCAACCATCACAGATAACCTCTGTGTGCTTTCTTTGACCTTTGACACTGACAAGAGAGGAAGACTGTCAGCTTCACGTGTTGAGAGCAGAACTCTCGTGTGAACAAAAGGCATTTTAGTTCTGGTCCCGGTGACACACCTGTAAGGAGCAGAGATAGAGGTGTCCCTTTGAGTCTTAGAGGAAGAACCTCCCTCCTTTATAGAGCCGCAGTACAGTGGTGAAGGATTTAAGGAGGGAGGCACTCTCCTCTGTTCACCTCCACAGACAGTCAGTGACTCCACATGCTGAAATTGCCTCCCGGTCTCCTCTCACCTTCCCCTCTCATGACTGTGTGTTACAGGTAATCTTCATTGTCATCTTGGTTGGATTTTGCATCATCAAAGAGATGCTTCCTATGTGTCCAGGAGGCATTTCCAGAGAGAGTTACATGTATGGGTGAGAGCCAACTCCATCCTGCTGTTGGGATGTTCTGCTAAGTGCGGCCAGGAAATCATGGGTTGAACAGTGAAAGTCCGAGGCACATAAGTTACCCCTTCTTTCCTCGGGCTGTCCCTGCCTGGTGCTTCATCTCAGTGACACAAAAGCAACCATGTTTCCCGCTCCTTCAGAAGATGGTACCGCCAGCCAGAGAGCTCCACCGTCCACCACCAGGCCCCAGGCACCACAGCTGCACTCATGGCTGATGCGAAAGGAAATGGCTGTGGTGAGAGAATTCGAGGTGTTCCCAGCAGGGTCCAAGGCCAGCACTCTCCAACAGTTCTTACTCTGTCCTTGAATCTTCAGTTTCTCCCTTTCTGCTGGGTGGCTGCCACCAACCAAAAAGAAGCCCACTTCCCTGCCTTTCAGAGAAAGCCCTACCTCCATCTCCCTTCCCCCTGCAGTGAGGAAAGTGCTTTTCAGAATTGCATCAAAATTCTGCAAGATAGTTATGGGCACCTGTGCTTTGCAGTACCCGTTCTCCCCTTTGTGATTTGTCCACTGTAGAGAGCAATTACAAATGTAATATATGTGTTGAAGACGCCACTGAGTGCACAGGTCCTCTGTCTGGATTTTGCTGATTGCATACTCAATGTGTTATTTAGCGAGTGTCTGTCCTCAGGTCATAGACTGAAGGCAGAGTCCTTAGCACAGACTGTCAGCGATGTCTGGGCAAGGCAGAATGAACCAAATGATATATGCTGTTTCTCTATGTGTTATGGTAGTAGCTGTTGGGACTCAGTGATTAATAGTGTCCAGAGTGTGGCGCTAACACTCGCTGGTTGAGAGCACAGAGGACATTTGACACACCAACTCTCACTGTCTGGAAGCACACACGCATCTGACATGCTAGCTCTTGTTGTTGGCTGAGAGCTCTCAGGAATGCCACAATAACTGCTCTTCCAGAGGACCCAAGGTTTGATTCCCAGCACCCACATGGAAACTCACAAACATCTGAAAATCCAGTTTCCAGGGATCTAATGCCTTCTTCTGGGCTCCCTGGGCACCAGATACACCATGGTGCACAGATGTACATACAAGCAAATACTTATACACACAAAAAAATCTGAAGTCTTTAGTAGTACCTTAAAGATTTATGACTGTGTATGTATATTCATTTTAAGTAAATATAACAAATTATTTTGCATTATTTTTAAGATTTATTAAGGCTGTGTAGAGTGGCATACATCTTTAATCCCAGCACTCAGGAGGCAGAGGCGGGCAGATCACTGAGGTTGAGGCCAGCCTGGTGTGTATATAGCAAGTTTCAGGACCACCAGGACTACACAGAGAAAATCTGCTTGGAAAAAAAATATTTACTTACTTCTATTTTCTGTGCATAAGTGTCTGTCTGTATGTATATATGTACACACCTGGTACTTTAGAGACGAGAAGAGAGTGCCAGGTCTCCTGGAACTGGAATTATGAATTATGGTTATGAACTGTCATGTGGGTTCTGGAAACTGAGTCTGGACCTTCTGCAAGAGCATCAAGTACTCTTAATGGCTGAGTCAATGGAAGCCGAGAGAAGACAAATCAAATGTGGCATGATGCATGTCCTTCTGAGCCTCAAGTACATCTCCAGCTCATCTACCTGCCGGACAGACCTCCGACCAGTGTGTCTTCCATCTCCTGTTCTTAACCACTCCACGGAGTCCATCCAGCCCAGTCTGCTGCTTCAGCATCACACAGACAAGTCAGAAATGGGAACGGAGTCTTCCTCTCCTCCCTCTTAGCCATCAGCATCATCCGTTCTCCCACCTTGTTATCTACCGGACACCCACAG